GTGATGATGAAACCAGCGACAACGATCTAAGTGAGACATTCTCATCTTAATCTGCTCCGGTAGGTCAATAAAAATGTTAAAGATAACCTTAGCTTGATATGTTAGCTTCCATTCCGCTAATGGTGCATTCAATTTCTTCTCGGAACTCTGAATTTCCGACTAGAAGAACATGAACACGCTCTAAAGTTTGGCTTCACTTTACTAAATGCGACGGGTGATTGGGTGATGATGAAACCAGCGACAACGATCTAAGTGAGACATCCTCATCTTAATCTGCTCCAGCAGCTAAATAAACTGTTTAAGATAATGTTAGCTTGATGTTAGCTTCCGTTCCGCTAATGGTGCGTTCGCTTTCTCCTCGGAACTCAGATTTTCCGACCGGAAGAACATGAACGCGCTCTAAAGTTTGGCTTCACTTTACTAAATGCGACGGGTGATTGGGTGATGATGAAACCAGCGACAACGATCTAAGTGAGACATCCTCATCTTAATCTGCTCCAGCAGCTAAATAAACTGTTTAAGATAATGTTAGCTTGATATGTTAGCTTCCATTCCGCTAATGGTGCATTCAATTTCTTCTCGGAACTCTGAATTTCCAACTAGAAGAACATGAACGCGCTCTAAAGTTTGGCTTCACTTTACTAAATGCGACGGGTGATTGGGTGAAGATGAAACCAGCGACATCGATCTAAGTGTGAGGCATCATCGTTTTAATCTGCTCCAGCAGCTAAATAAACTGTTTAAGATAATGTTAGCTTGATAAATCAGCTTCCATTGCCACCATTGTTATCAGCTAATGGTGCGTTTCCTTTCTCCTTGGAAATTCTAACTTCCCAGTAGGAAAAATCAAATGAAAAAGGACGGCAAAAGGAATGAAGATACACAGTAAATTTAGTTCACAATAAAGATGTTTGCTTCAGTTTAATTATCAGCTTATAAAACTACAAGGACGATGTTAAAATACAAACAGTTGTATGTTATTTATCGTGATATTCATCAAATATGGTTATATATTGAGAAAATATATATTTAATTATAAAAGAGAATTAAAATAATAAACACTCAAAAGTATCTAAAATTGGTACCGTTAAGGACCGGTATCGATTCGTAGGTACCGGGAATTAGTACCGAATCGATTCAAATGTCAAAGGTACCCATCCCTACTACAGTCACCTGGGGTCACAACCAGCAGCTGTTTCAAAAGGTTATGATCATTCCTCACGGAAACACGTTTGGAAAATGTCTCGTTAGGTGTTCCTGTCATGTCGTCATAGGGTTTTCCTGTTAAATTAATTATCACCGAGGCGTCACCGTTCCGCTGAACTTGTGACTGAACCATCAGGAGCAGGAATGAGTCACAGAGGATGAGTTAGTAGAGAGGACATGATGGGATGTAGCTACGGGGCTCGTCTCAGACCAGAGGTGGCTGTCGGGGTGTTGAAGGACAAAAGCTCAGCAGTGACATACGTGTGACTGCACTAACTCACATGTATGTCCACGTATTCTTGCTGACAAGATGTACCACCACATCTACTTTAACTGACAAACCAGCTCGGGATGTGGTAAAAAGTAAAAATGGAGAAAAAAAGAAGTATTCTGCTTCTCCTGGAGGTCCGTCATCAAACGGTTTGTCATCCTGCTGCAGTTCAGGAAAGACTAAAAAGTACTCAAAATAGCCGAAACTCTCGGGTTATCAAGAAGGACGGTGACTGAGGATGCACAGATATAAAATAAATAAAAAAAGTGTGGTACCAATTTTAAATCTGACCATGTGACAAGTACATGACGGAGGATGCAGACATGCACTACAAACGCTGAGGGGGGTCGAGGTGCGACAGACAGGAAGCGGTGGACGAGAACAGAACGTCCCGTGAGAGAGGGGACTGCTCTTCTGTATATCGAAGTCCCTGGATGATAGAAGAATGTTTGTGCTCCCGGGTTGGAGTCGCATGCTCCGTTTCCCGTCTTCTGCAGATCATGCAATGTGTCAGAAGCTCTATGCAGAGTGGAAACGTGCCTTCATGGGAACATAACAACTATTAGGGCGGTTTCACAAACTGAACTTCTCATCAGCTGTGTTTGATGGGCTGTGGAAAGAAAACCTCCCCGAACTGAAGTCAGGATAAGGAGGAGCCTCTTGAGGAATAGCTGGACACGTTATTTTTCATTGTCCAGAAGAAAAACACACGTGCATTCCTTTCAGTAGATTTGGATAGATTCTCCCCAATCATAGAAGCCCACTCCGAAGCATCTGCACCATTTCTGTTACGTTTCTCACAGAACAGATTAGTGCTGCCACTGAGCTCTTCACTGACAAGAAAATACTTACGGATGTTCTATACAGGGTATCTGCAGGTTTAAGGGAGCCAAACTTAAGACCTTTTTAAGACGTTTTTTAAGACGTTTTTTAAGGCCACTTTGACCAAATTTAAGCTATAATTTCCAGCTATTGCCTGGAACTGGTGCTAACCACGTCGTGAACGTTGGATTAGCCATCCAGTTACCATTAATGTTGCACTTCCCCGTGGCGCAAACTCCCACTAGCATGCTCATCTAAAAATAGCCCCCTTTCACAAACCAACCGAATGTGTACGGTTCCGCTTACGCCAATATCATACACAAAAAATGCTGAACTAGAAATTCACGGAAATTTTATAGAAATACAAGAATCTTGTTTATTGGGTCTTTGGTAATTTAAGACCTTTGGAAACTATTCAAGGATTATTTGTCATTTTTAAGGATTTTTAAGGCCTTAAATTTGAAAAAGCAAATTTAAGACTTTTTAAGGACCCGCAGATACCCTGCTGTAAGAAATTGTTAGATTTTGGGGGAAAAAGCTGCAGTTTGTTTCATCTCTTTATGGTGGGTATTAAAGCTGCAGTGGCAAATTTGGAAAACAAATTAGATTAAAAAAAAGTCAAAAAAATGAAGTGGTTCTCTCACATTTGTCAAAAAATCTCCTCCCGTAACATATTTCGGCCGAAAGCAACCACTCCCTGGGTCCTCCACTTATTACTGTCATATTTTACAACAGAACACCGCTGGTGTGAGAGGTTCTTTTGCTCAAATCAATTCAATTCAAATTCAAAGATGCTTCATTAATCCCAGAGGGAAATTAAGAGTTTCAGTACACACAATTCTGAGCTCAGACAATAGTGTCAGAGGAGAAACAGCCGGCTGCTACCACTCCAACGTCCTGCGCTACTGCTGCCTCAGGTGCAGAAGTCATTAAGGTGGTAATAGTGCAGAATTAGTTAGTTCAGGTTTGAGGAGTCTCAGTAACGTAAATGTATAATTAGGGCAGTGTAGAGATGCTCACGGAGTGGAAATATTTGTTGGAATTGCCCTTTCTAAAATCTATTCTGAAAACTAAGAAAAGGGGAACCAACTTCAGCTTCGTCTGGTATGTCGTTTTTTTTTCTTTTTGTAATGATTTAATCTCTCGTTCTTGATTTAAATAAATAAATAATCACGTCAACAAGCATCCGGACTTGATCCGTAAGCAGGGATGGTGCACATAACTCTTAACAACTGCACTGGCTCCAGTATCAAGTGTTGATTTGCACAAACGAGATGTTTCAACTCACTGTAGTTCTGCCGTGTGAGCAGGCTGGTGATGAGCGTGCGCGTTTTTGCCGCTTGATTCGGGCGGAGCCGTTGGTGAAATGCATTTGGTAAATGGTCTGTATTTGGATAGCGCCTTCTTAGGGTTCTACACCCCCCACACCCCCCCCCCCCCCAAGGCACTTCACAACACAACCAGTCATTCACCCATTCACACACACACTGCTGCTGATGAGCTACGAGGCAGCCACAGCTGCCCTGGGGCGCAATGACAGAGGCAAGGCCTGCCGAACACAGGCGCCACCGGTCCCTCTGACCACAACCAGCAGGCAAGGTGGGTTAAGTGTCTTGCTCAAAGACACAACAGCAGCATTCAGAGCCAGGATAGAACCTGCAACCTTTCCGATTACTGGACAACCACAATAAAGACGTGACACCGGTGAACATGGCTATGACTACTACCTGAAGCTAGAAACTCTGTAGTCTTTATGTATTTGCGTGATTGTGTTTGTGTGTGTGTGTGTGTGGTGGTGGTGGTGGGGGGGGGGATCAGTGTGACCATCGTTTACACATTGGCGAGGAAATCACAGCAGCGTCTCTTCTTCCTCCGCAAACTAAGAAGAGCAAGAGCACCAGCCCCCATCCCGTACACTTTCTACAGAGGCACCATCGAGAGCATCCTGTCGTGCGGCATCACTGTGTGGTTCGGAGTCTGCAACGTTTCATGCATTAAAACCCTCCCAACACATAGTGAGAGCAGCAGAGGTCATTGGGGTCTCTCTCCCCTCCCTACCAGACATTTACAGCGCCCGCCTCACAAAAAAGGCCCTTCGCATTGCGGCTGATCCCACTCACCCGATGCAAAGCCTCTCCGAGCTGCTGCCGTCAGGGAGGAGACTGCGGAGTCTCAAGGCCAGGACCAACAGACTGCAGGACAGCTTCATCCATCAGGCAGTTAGGAAGCTAAACTCCCTCCCGGCTCTCCCACCTCTCCTCTCATTCCCCCCACAGTCTCTCTGAACTTGGTTACTGTTTTTATACTAAATGTTTATTTTCTATCTAGCGAGAGTTTGAGAGTAACGTAATTTCATTTCTCTGTATGTCCTGTACACGTGGCAGAAGTGACAATTAAACTGACTTTGACTTTTGACTTTGATGTTGGGACTTTGATGTTGGGAGACACACCCCTTCAATTTGCATAGCTCAACCCACTGAAGTGGGTTGAGCTATGCAAATTGAAGGGGTGTGTCTAGGTTTATGACATTTTAAGTCGGCGTTTATCAGAACAAGACATTTCACCATAGTTCTTAACAAAATGACTCATTTACATGGAACAGCAGGTCAGAGAAGACACGGATGTTTTGGTACATTTGACACATCAAACTGCAACAAGGTAAATGCGGTTTGGAAGCAAATCAGTAAAATAAAGTCAGGGCTTGCAGAGCAGGACGAAGGACCTTTATTACACATTTGACAGAACCAGGGAAGACAACATTTAAAGTCTCAGAAACAGACAACAGAGTTTCCACTAGGGCCTTTCCCAACTGTAGCGTGACTCGGGTTGGTGCGCCTCGGCCGTCTTTTCCAACAGCACAGCTCGTTGTTTTCCCCCTACCTTTCAGTCCCTGCCTCCTTGAGGTTAAAGTAGTAAGGGAGCAACCACTTTCTGTGACGGAGCAGGCAGGGAAAATCAACCACTCTGAGGTGAGCGGAGTTAACCCACACTGTACCGAGCTGTTCTAGGCTGAGTGGTGCTGCTGGAAAAACGGCTTTTAATGAGCTCGCCTCAGACTTCATCTTGCCGTCCCTAAACATAAGTTACCACTTGTGCAATCCAGCAAGCATCTCTTCCACTTTTTCCATTGAACTCCGGTGAAACCTCAGCGACTAACGGGAACGGCGAGCAGGAAAACATGGATGTTTTAAGTTTGTTGAGCTCATGCCTGGGATTAAATTAGCGGTTTTTTCAGATTTAGACACAAATTAATCCATGTTTTATTGACACGTAAATGAAAAGTTGCCGTTATCTCATCTAACTTTTAAAGTGTGTGAATAAAAAAACACTATCATGATCGCATCAGCAGGAATTTAACTGAACCAATAAAAGATAAGAGTGAGCAAGGCGTCTGAGGGGAGGCAGACGCTCCTGTCCTCACCCGTTTTCATGGAATGTATTTAATCTTTGTGATGGACGGCATAGACACACATAAAGAGTTGGTCATGAACTGGAAATATGGGATGCACAATATGCCTGCTTCAATATCGGTACTGGTTGACGTTAGTTATTTTTTTAACAATTCCGTATCGGTCTGATAAGTAAAACTGGGCCGATATTAACAACCAATATTTTTTCCATCTTGTTTCCATTTGTGTATCAGAGTGTGAGGGGGTGATGACGAGTAATTGTTTAGTCCTGTGACAGCGACGGTAACCATCTCAGACGTGTAAATGTGTGTGGTGTATGTGTGTAATAACATTTAGCAGATTCCACTTAAAGAAATAAAGCAAAAAGTTCAACAGTTCAGCTTGCATAATTCTCAGTCCATTCAAAATTTGCTGACATCAGAAGCGTAAATGTCGATTTATCAGTATTGGCCATAACAGTGATGATAATATCGGATATCGGTATCGGCCCCCCAAAAAAAACCATATCGGTGCATCCCTACTGGAAACATTTCCCTCCTGTAACACCCAAACGACATCAGTATGGCATGCCTTCTGACCCTTTGTTTACATATTACTATTAGCATAATGCTAAAATACGAGGAAGTATTTATTACATGTTTGTAATTCAACCACAAAATAAGAACACTTTAAACATGGTTTCACTCACTGTTGGTCTATTATGTTAGTTTATACTAGATTCATTTTAAAGGATTAGTAATTAAGGAAATAGTGAGGAGTGAATACATACAAATATTAACGCTGACACACCAGTTAAAATGCACACACACACACTAGTCAGGACACCTTCTCACACACACACACACACACACACACACACACGCACACACATGTCAAAGTTCCAGGTTCAAACACGCATAATAAAGTCATCTATGTCACCGTGTCAGTACGTTGATGAGATTCAGAAGACATCCTTCTTTGCTGCATTTACCTCCTCGATGCTAAGGTCGATCCAGGTTTGACGTCGCTCTACTCTGTTGTTCTGAATTATTTAAGTTTATTTTTATGATAAATGGTTTTAAACCTTTAGGACCAGCCTCTTCAAATGCCAGGCTCTCGATTTACCGGTCGATCTACGTCCCAATCCTCACCTATGGTCATGAGTTTTGGGTAATGACCGAAAGAACGAGATCGCGGATACAAGCGGCAGAAATGAGTTTCCTCCGTAGGATGGCCGTGCTCAGCCTTAGAGATAGGGTGAGGAGCTCGGACATTCGGGGGGGACTCGGAGTAGAACCGCTGCTCCTCCGGATCGAAAGGAGCCAGTTGAGGTGGTTTGGGCATCTGGTCAGGATGCCTCCTGGACGCCTCCCTGGGGAGGTGTTTCGGGCATGTCCTGCCGGCAGGAGGCCCCCGGGTCGACCCAGGACACGTTGGAGAGGTTACATCTCCAATCTGGTCCGGGAACGCCTTGGGGTCCTGCCGGAGGAGCTGGTGGAGGTGGCCGGGGAGAGGACGGTCTGGAGCTCCCTAGTTGGGATGCTGCCCCCGCGACCCGGACCCGGATAAGCGGAGGAAGACGACGACAACTCTTCAAATGTTTAATGCATACACACCCGACACACCCATTCATAACAAGACACCAAACATAACAGAGCCTACTAGAACAGGGACTGCGTGTGAAGCACACAACAAATAAAACACAAGTTCGCATCCTGGATGAAGGTTTAACAGGAATAAGCTTCACAGTGTCTCGTTTTGTTCCAGTAGTTTGGTGTTTTTCACCGTTCCAGTGTTTTTATGTCATTACCTGTTTAACACCTGTCCTGTCTGATTTAATGGTTTCTGCTTTCTTTAAAGGGGTGCCGGTCAAAAACTAGCAGAAAAGCCTAATTTATTCATGCTAGAGGACAAAAGCTATTTATTGGTTTCAATCCAGCCCGATATAACATGTGCTTGATCTAAAGATAGCAGAAGTAATGCTGCTTACACATTAGCGTTGGTGCGGTCGGGGGAGGATAGCGGCGGTCCAGTCTCGAACCGGAGGTTTAGTGTTCACATATAAATCCGAAGGACTTCTCAGGATTGCGGAAATCTCCGAACATGTGGGCGCGCGAGAAAGTCCGTGGTGTCCTCCTTAATATATAAATAAACCAAATATGTGCGAGCTGTGTTGCTTTTAGACTTTGAACCACATTATTTTATTAATTTGCTCTGTGTGTGTGTGTGTGTCCTCATAAAACTCTATCCTCTGCTGCTGTGGGACACACACACACACACACTGAGTTCTCCTTTCGGAGCAGCAGTCTGCCGGCCTGCTGGGAGGAGAGCTCCGATGCGTCGAGGACAGGGCAACACAGCACAGCCCCCTCTCTTTACCCGTGCCCACTGAGCGGGAGCTCTGTGCTACAGAGAATTGTACTCAACAGCATGGAACACGAAAATGAATCGCGTGTGCCGGTACCCCCCCGCTGGCTGATGCAACTCGTCAATTGGAGGCAGGTAGCCATAATTTCAGCTGGCCTATCAGTCCATAGGGTCACCTTGGTCCCAGTCTGTCGCCTCGACACCGAAAACGCATATCTGACCCTTGTGTTTAACCAAATTCCGGTCCAGTACCCGACCGCACCGATGCTAATGTGTAAGCGCCTTAATAAGACTGGATGAAGTGAATTTCCAGTTTTGGGGGAACTAAATGAGTATTAGAGGCAGCTAACGTGCTAATCTCATGTTTTATTCAGCTATTTTTCTCTTGGAAGGAGGCACCAGGTGTGCAGGCAGCTCTGACGGCAGTTCGTGTCCTTCCAGTTTCACCTTTATCAGGTGGTTGGCCAAAGCAAACTCCTCATCGTCGAGCATCCCGTCCTTATCGATGTCCGCTAGCTTCCAGATCTTTCCCAGCACCGTGTTTGGCAGTTTTGACTTCACCATCTCCCTCTTAGCGTTGGCTCCTGTAACCTTCCCGTTGACGGGCGACAGCGTGTAGAAAATCTCATCGTACGCGGGTTTGTCGCGAGCGACGACCCACTCGACCTCGTCGATCCCCTCGCCAGCTCCTTCGCCGTAGCCGTGTCCAAACGGACCGTCCAACGTGCCATCGAATGCGCCGCCCTTCACCACCGAGTTGGGACACTGCGTTTCCTCCTGGCGGACCAGGACCATCAAGCTAGCGATGTCGCTGGCTAGCATGTCATCGACTGCCTCCAAGAGTTTAGGTTTAAGGGGCTGGAATTTGGTGAGATCCTGAGCTTGGAGATGATCCTGGAAGAAAAAACAAAGCTTTAGCTCACAATCACAACGCAATCTAAAGATCAAAAACTTTCCGTTTCTACCTGCATCTTCTTCAGATTAGGAAAATCTCCAGGTGAAATCATATGCTCTCTCTCGATGCGCTTGTAAATATCTCCAAGACTAGCGATCAGCTCTTTCTTCTTGTTCTCCTTCCCGAACACAGAGGGCATCTCTTTCTTCAGCGAGCTGATGATGTAAGCATGAACCTGTGAGTGAAAGACAAGCCTGTCATCGTTCTCGGGTCTAGGTGAGTCCTCCTCCTCAACTAACAATCTTTGGGGTTCTGTGTTCCACAGGTGAGGAGCGGAGAGGTACCAGCTGTTCTGAGTTACTCATTTGGAGCTCGGGTTTAAAAGGAGGATGGAGACACTACTCGAAGCCGGATGATTACTCCAGTATTGGTAACGCCTGCCACTCGTACTTGTTTGACCTCGCATGTATGGATTACTTGGATTTTGACCTTGGACTGTTTATTGGATTACGGCTTTGAACTTGCTCCTGAAGCTCCGTTTGTTTGCCCTCCTAGGATTACCACCCCAACCTTCACCAAATTCTGCTAAGAACCACGGATCCTCATTCACGTCTCATCCTCCTCCACCGCTCCTGCATTTCTCCTCTCTGCTTCCTCACCTCCCGTCCGGCTGGATTACTACACTCGTCTCCTTGGCACCCCGCAGCTCGCTGAGCTAAGAACTCTGAGCAATCGCCCTCGGCATCATTCACTGGATTTCAGTGCTACTTCAGTTCCCGTTTGTTTAAATAAAGACTTTAATTTCTTACCTCCTGACCCCTGAGCTGATTCTGCATGTCTTGGGTTAAACGCCTTCCACAAGTCATGACAAAGCCAGCCGCTTTCAGAAACCTCCGAGGGAAAAAGTGCGTTCTGAGTTTCTGTTTGATCCGACGGAGAATGAGGACGATGGCTTCTGTTCTATACGACCATTTTCACTGGCTGTTACTACAGCAGAAACGCCTGTAAGCTCATGCTGAACTTGACCGCCCGGATGTGCAGGAAAAGCTACATTTTGACACTGCAGGTGATTTTTACTGATAAAAATAAAGATGACTTCTCCTCACATTTCTGCAGCTGTGGCGTTCCCATGAGAAACGATCTGCTTTATGATTTCAAACAAAATGATGACAAGCTGGGTGTCCCCATCTCCCTTATGCCACAACAAGATGGACAGTTTTATAGAACAAGACAAATATTCCATGTATTGTGACAGCAATTAAACCCAATTTCTATTTATTTCTATAGTTTACCAACTTGTCTTTATCCACATTTTGTTTCTGAGGCAAGTTTCCACACGGAGTCTGTTTTTCCAGATGTTGCAAGCGGATTGTCATGAAGCACGGTATCTGCAGGTTTAAGGGAGCCAAATGCAAGACTTTTTAAGACATTTTTAAGGCCATTTTGACCAAATTTAAGCGATCTTTTAAAATTAAATTTAAGCTATAATTTCCAGCTATTGCCTGGAACCGATGCCAACCACGTTGCGAACGTGGGATTAGCCATCCAGTTACCATTAAACTTCTCCACGGCGCAAGCTCCCACTAGCTTAACCAGCTAATGTGCTCATCTAAAAATAGCCCCCTTTCACAACCAACTGAATGTGTACGGTTCCGCTTACGGCAACATCGCACAAAAAAAATGCTGAACACTAACTAGAAATTTATGAAAATTTTACAGAAATAAAATAATCTTGTTTATTGGGTCTTTGGTAATTTAAGACCTTTGGAAACTGTATTTAAGGATTTTTTGTAATTTTTAAGGATTTTTAAGGCCTTAAATTTGGAAAACCAAATTTAAGACTTTTTAAAGGGACTTTACGGACTTTGAAATTTTTATGCTCGCGATTGCCCCCTCAGGCCAAAAGCGTAATGGCAGCTTCAATAGTAGGCTCGTGCACAAAGTGTGCGTGCTGTACGTGCACACTCCTTAACAAAAATAACAGCTGAGACAGTCGTGTGTGTGTGTGTGTGTGTGTGCGTGCGTGCGTGCGTGCGTGTGTGTGTGTGTGTGTCCTGGAGGACAGAGGACAGGAGAACATGCAGCTAATTAATTAAATAATTTGGTTCTGTACCTTTCTCTTCAGCACAGCCGACAAAGGTTTATGATGGGTCAGTCCTCCTGCATGCTCAGATCATTCCCTTCCCTTGCTTGAAAAATTGTTCCAAAATGAAAGTTGAACCCACATCTTTTTTATCTGTGAATTCAATGCCGTTCGGCGAGTCTCAAATAAAAATTTGGGCATCTTACTGTAAAAAAATATACCATTAATGTAAAAAAACTCTAAATGAACTATGTTCACATCCAGAATCAAACCCAGGTCTGCTGCACAAGAGTCCGACGTCTTACTAGGTGAGCTAAAGCGCTAAAGTGACGTCCTTTGTATCTGTATCTAACATTTATATCCTTGATGACAGCTGAAACAACGTCAAACCAAAGAACGGTTGGGAGTGAAAATGGCTATTTTGTTGCTAATTAGCAGGAAATATCTAGAAGAAAGTTCTACAGAAAGTAGCTAAGGGTCCTCAGAAATGTAGCTAGCTTTGTCACTAGGCGTTAGGAACAGCGACAAAGTGGCACTGCCTCTCTCTCTGCTGCTAAAGCTACGGATAGCAAATGCTACGGGCGATGCCTGAGCGTGAACGCGCATGAAGCAGCCTGCTCGACCCGAGCATCTCTCTTTTTCTGTGATTTTACAGAAAAACAGGCAATCACAGTAAAAATGCCAGGGCTCATTCTACAGGACCAGGGCATTGCAGGAGAATGTATGAAGAAGACATTTATTATTTCTATACATGTTTTGGCTGTCAGACTTCCATAATGCCCCTTTAAGGACCCGCAGATACCCTGCATGAGGTTGGAGCAATTCAAGTTTAAGATACAGATATTTATTTTACATTTATTAATGTATAAATAAGTATTTGTGTCTAAAATGTGAATATGAGACATTCCTAAGACTTCAAGTTCAATAAAATAAAGAACATAGACTCTGTTTTTAGCTTTTCCCGAGTCCAACACACAATCACCAGAAGGAGAGGCTCTAAATAATTAACAGATGCTGAAAGTCAGGCTGTGATAACATTTGTTTGACCAGATAATGTTATGATGATAATAAAGTTATGAGACATGAAGACTAATCTAGATTAAGCAAAGTTCAAGTCAAGAGTTTCTTTAAAATGATTGATTGGATTTTTTCATTCAAATGTCTGACATGATGCTGCAGAAAAAAAATAAATCTGAAATTCTTCCACGTCAGTTAAACCTTGATGATAACGGCTAGAATTTCACTTTGTTTCTTAAAAAGGTTAAAAAAAGAGTCGTTTATCATAAAAAACTAGGGAAAAAATGGTCTGTGTTGATGAATTTGTTATTTCCTGCATCTACTGTCCTTGACATGATTAGCTGTCAAAAGTGTGTGTGTGTGTGTGTGTGTGTGCGCGCGAGAGAGACAGACGGAGAGACAGATAGAGAGAGAGAGAGAGAGAGAGAGAGAGAGAGCGATGCTTCCTCAAACAACAAGCAGCAGGCTGTCGCCGCTCCTACCTGACTTCCTGCTCAGAGGAAGTGGGACATAAATCGGGGTGATAAGTTGTCAAGGCTGTAAAAGCGATAAGAGGAAACACATGCAGACGACATTTAAACACGTCAGCAGGGGTCCTGCTATTCTAGCTCATGCCCACGTGGTTTAAAGGTGTAACGTGTGGAAAAAAAAAAGAGTATTACTCCAGGTGTGTCTTACTTTGGCTAGTCTGGCTCTTTTGATCAGATCGTTGAGTTTTCGGAGCGCTGCGTTTCTCGGTAAAGACTGAATGTCCTTAAATAAGTCCTGCTCTTCTGCTTCAAACAGCTTCCTGTTGTCGGGAATCAACAGCGGGTGAGACCAGAAGGACCCGATGTAAACACGAACCACCTGTCAGAGAAATGGACAAAAATCAGAAAGGTTTAACCCTATGCGTGAAAAGTGGATGCTGGATTAAGAAGGTTTGCGTTTGGATTAAATTAGAAATTATTATTTACATTTTTACTAAATAAATGCAAACCTTACTGCCTCTAAAGCAGCTTCTTTGTCTCATACTGAATTCAACTTTTGGTGCGGTTTTATTCGTTTAGCTAAAATTTGAAAAGGATTTCCAAAAGAATTTCTCTGGGAAACTTTAGAACTATAAAGATGGAGGAGATGAATGACATCATATCCCTGACTCTCAATCAGCGCCGCCCACTTTCTGGGGAAAACAAATGCCAAGAATATATTGTGAATACTTATAAGGTCTGTGATGTATGGAGAAGAGAGGCTATGGATGGCTTTGAAGGTATGGAGGAGAATTTTGAAGATAGACCTGAATTTAACTGGGAGCCAGTGAAGCTGCTGGAGAACCGGGGTGATGTGGTGAAAGGAAGGGGTTCTGGTGATAATACGGGCTGCTGAATTCTGGACCAGTTGCAGTTTATGAAGGAGTTTGTTGGGGAGACCATAAAGAAGTGAATTGCAAGTGAATTGCGATGATCGAGTCGGGAGGTGACGAGGCTGTGAACGAGAATGGTGGCAGTGTGAGGGGTAAGGGAGGGCCGGAGATGGTTTATGGAACGTAAATGGAAGTATGCTGACCGAATTATGTTATTAATGTGAGCTTGAAAAGAAAGTGAGCTGTCGATGTAGAACTCTGTTTCTGTTGATCTTGATTATTGCAGTTCACTTCTTTATGGTCTCCCCAACAAACTCCTTCATAAACTGTAACTGGTCCAGAATTCAGCAGCCCGTATTATCACCAGAACCCCTTCCTTTCACCACATCACCCCGGTTCTCCAGCAGCTTCACTGGCTCCCAGTTCAATTCAGGTCCATCTTCAAAATTCCTCTCTATACCTTCTAAACCATCCATAACCTCTCTCCTCCATACATCTCAGACCTTATTAGTTTTACAAACCCCCCCCCCCCCCCCCCCCCCCCCCCCCCCCCCCGGTTCTCTGAGATCTTCTTCTTTCATCCATCTTGCGGTTCCTTCTGCCCGTCTCACTACCATGGGGAGCAGAGCTTTCGGCCGCTCTGTTCCCCGTCTCTGGAACTCACTCCCCCCAGACATCAGGAACATCGACAGTTTCACCCTTTTCAAAACAAAACTCAAAACACACATGTTTAAATCTGCCTATGACCTCTGATTTTATTGAACTGTTTCCCTCTTCGTTTTTTCTTGTTTGCGTTTTATTGTTGTTTTAATGTGTTTTCTGAACGTATTTTCTGTCAAGTGACCTTGGGTGTTCTGAAAGGCGCTTTAAAATAAAATGTGTTATTATTATTATTATTATTATAAAAACATAATAGAAAACACTGAGATGTTTGTCTAGATGAAAGCGTGAGATCCTTTGTTGGGCGTTGAATCTGACCGCTGCAGGACGATGAAATCCAGGGTTTTAATTGATGACATAGGTGATCAGTGACGGGTACCGACTATTAAGAGAGTTAAAGAAGAAAAAAAACAGGATTCCTGATGAATAATTGTGTATTGCAAGATTGGCGTTATTAAAATCTCAGACTAGCTGTTAGCTTATCATTCCTGTGGGACGTAAACTGGGGCTGGTCACAAAGCCATATAGAGTGGGTTATATTTTAATTATTTATAACTTTTACACAAAAAACACTTTAAATTGGTCTAAATATCCCTTTAAACCAAAAACCAAGCGGCCAGTTGACAACTTGCTTTACCTCGGGGGTGTTGACTATTTTTCCCAGCGACCACATCAAGGCACCGTACACTCTCATCAGCTGCTGGGTCTCGATCTGATCGGCCTTGTTCAACACAACTCTGCAGAAAACAGCAGAAGAAGACAGCGCTAACATGCAACCAGTGTCGGGCAAGTTACTTCAAAACTGTAATGCATTATTTATTACTTGTTACCCTCATTTTAAAGTAATTCATTACATTACAATGTTACTGATTTTAAAATGTAAGGCATTACACTACTTTTGCATTACTTTAAGTTACTTTCACCAAAACAACTTCAGTATGAATCTGGTCATGTGACGCTCGGTGAGCTCATGACATGTATGTGGAAGGTGATGTGGTGTCTGAGCTAGGGTTGCTGTTAAAAACAGTCAGATATAATAACAGTGCTTTAAAATGATTGTTTATTAAATAAAAGCAACAACAATCTGTACTCTCAGCACGCTGCCATCTTATATTAACTGAGCAGGAAGTGAGGTGGTGGGGGCTCCAAGCCTTTATTTACCTTGGTCCCCAAATACCTTGATACGGCCCTGGATGTGGGACTGACTTCTGGGATGATCTGATTCTATCACATGTATAAATATTAAATGCTTATATATTATTGCTTTTCACTGGTAAAAATGTGTATTGGGGATAAATCTACCTACTTTTTTCTTTTTTCTTGATTTTATGTGAATAATTTCCGGCCCTTTCTCTCTCTAACCTTCCTGCATGCTGCATGTTTTCTCCGTCTTCCAGAAAAACTGTTTCCTAGATTTTCTACTTTCTAACTAATCAGCCAAAGGGATCTACCCAACGCAAAAAAAAAAAAAACTTTAATATGCGCTGCGCTCCAGCAGCAATGAGTTGAAATCACCGGGGCACAGATTATGAACTCAGCTGAAAAGTACATGAAGTACCAGAGAATATGGGCCGATATAAACGATCGCAAACGAATGACTTTGTTTTGGTGGAGCGATTTTGTGAATATAACAGTGGCAACGCGCAGGACGCAGCTGGAGTATTTGAGCCGTTACCGCTGCGTCCTCTCTGCTCATAGAATGGCTGCAAAGCTGAGTCCATAAATGACGTCATATATGTGGATACTAGATCTTTTTTCAGGCTTCCCGCAATTTGAATTTTTAGGAAACCCACATCTTGATTCTGGGTTTAAAAATGCGTTGTAATTATCGCGTTACTGACAATTGTACCGAGTAAATATTACCATTTTATGTTCCTGTAATGCCTTACATTACCACATTACAGCAAAAAGCAATAGATTACAGTAATTAATTACTTTTGTACCACGTTACTCCCAACACTGCATGCAACATTACAGAGTCGCCAAATCAAGTAGGAATAACTTATTCAAACTTGGATCGGCACCTGATCTTGTCTTCGTGGTTCTTCAGGGCCTTTATTACTTCAGAGAACTCATCAGAGATGTCCAGTTTGTGGGCATCAAACAGCAAGATGATCCTGTCCACTCGCTCTGCAAACCACTCCAGGACAGCAGCAAAGTCGTAGCCTGGGAGGAAAAGGAGAAGTGGGGAAAAATGGAATGTTTTAAAAGGAGTTTTGACGTCTTGTGTCATTCATTGGTTTTTCAACGTCAGTTCTGCCCTTCAGAAAGAGCAAAACCAAGCTTGTATGCTGATATCTTTGAGAACAGCGATTTAACTTTATTCCCCAGGGAAAGTCATTCCAGCCACTGCGGGTCACAGAGGAGGTTTATATTACAACATGTTGACAGAAAAGAACGTCTACTCGTGAAAGCCCGTGTTCTCAAGGGTAAACAGAATAGTTTTTACTCTAAATAATGAGGAGAAAACAAGTTTTCTTAGGATTTTATGTATTCTGCATAATAAACTTGTTTCAGAACAGGTTTTAACGCTATAATTAGAAACCAACCACTGGGTAAGAACTTACTTCTCTGACTTTCTGTCCCCTTCAAGGACAAATGTCCTGCTTACCTGGAGGAATTCTATTAGACACGAGGACAAAAGGTCCAGCAGGTACACCAGAGGAGAGATTCATGAGCTCAGTCAACACTCACGGGCATTAAGTAGAAGCAGAGTGAATGAGTTACAGTATTAATTATGATTAACCAGGAGGTCGTTGGTGAGTAAGTGTTGGTTTGATGTAAACTCAAGGATTAAAGCAGATTTTCTTTGAAAAAGATGTTTATAAAACTTCTGTTCCATTCAGATTACAAACCCAAAACATACACAGATGTAGATGTTTTGTATACGTTTGCATTTTGAATAGATTTTGTTGGTAAAATCATCTTTCTCCAAACAGACTCGCTTCTCTGCCGATTCTCCTTCAAGTACTAGGGCAGATCATGATCTGTCGTTTTTTTTTTTTTATAGAGGTACAAAGTTTATTAGGAATTATTAACCTAGACTTCATTAAAATACTTCAAATGCAGAATGTTAGCGGTGGTGAGTGAGGTTAAACGTGGAAACTAGTCTGTAGGAACCTGCACAAGTAAAGCTGAAAGGAAACAACGACACGTGAGGAAACTGCAGAGTTAATGCAGATACCCTGATATTATAAAATATCAGACTGTTCTTCATCCTGTGAACTTCTCACATGTGGAAAAATTCAGACTTTTAATTGATGACATAGTTGATCAGTGACGGGTACCGACTATTAGAAAGTTAAAGAAGAAGAAAAAAAACAGGATTCCTGATGAATAATCGTGTATTGCAAGATTGGAGTTATTAAAATCTCAGACTAGCTGTTAGCTTATCATTCCTGTGGGACGTAAACTGGGGCTGGTCACAAAGCCATATAGAGTGGGTTATATTTTAATTATTTATAACTTTTACACTAAAAACACTTTAAATTGGTCTAAATATCCCTTTAAACCAAAAACCAAGCAGCCAGTTGACAACTTGCTTTACCTCGGGGGTGTTGACCTCAGGGGGTCTTTTGTTCCCTCTTCGGGGGGAAACTCCCACTGGGTTTAAATCTGGGACTCTCCACCATTTGACCTTAGCACTGAAGAAGCCTCTCGGATGAGAGGCGAAACGTCTTCAAGCAACTCAAGTCCAGACGCTTTTCTTTCAAAGCTCCTTAGACTATAGTTCTCCACCTGTTTCGCAGCCCGTGCCCCAGCCGCAGCCGCAGCGCCACCCTCTGGGCCTGCCAGGTAACAGCTACTTTTGGAACATCTTTCAAAAAAGAAATGTGGGTGGAGTAAAGGTTGGTTTATGCTTGACGCGTCCGCGAGGTCCGCGCGGCTCCGCGCGGAAAAGTTGCGTCATTTTAACAACCACGCCCCTCCACCGCTCCTCCGCACAGCCCGGAATTTCCGCAACGCACACCTCGGAAAATTTCTAACCACGCGGACGGACGGACGCGGAAAAACATGGCGGACTGGCAAGAACTAGTATGGCAGAGGTTGGTAAATACAGACATTTGTATGATTCAGCTCCCAGAGATCACCGTGATCAACATGTTGTTAATAATTCTTGGAGAGAAATAGCTCGCACTGTCGGAAAAGACGAGGACGCTGTTAAAAAAATGCTGGAATGCCATGTTGTAAACAACAGTAATTTCTACTTCTACTATGGTGTAGTGTTGGATGCATGCCGTAGAGCTCCATGCTGCCCCCTACTGTTTGGGAGAATATTGGCTCGCCGCAGAGACGAGCCGCACGAACCATAAACGCTGCGAGTTGTGAAGCGCGTTCCATCCGCGAGCCGCGTCACCGCGCGGAAAGTGAATGCGTCAAGCATAAACCGAGCTTAAGACTCTGGTAGGGGGGCGACTTGCTCTTTAAGCAACAGAAAACCTGCACTAAAGGCCTCACACTGCTCCTGTGTTTGCAGACGTGTCTGGCCTGATATGAACTGCTGAGCTTGATTCATCCTCGTAGCAAAGCACGTAGAAAATAGACTCAGTGGAGCATACATTTTACAAAATGCAAAGACAACGTGCACCTGAAACGCACTGCTTCAAGTCCGGTAGGAACAAAAACATTGAGAGCAGCAGCAGCTGTTGGCTGTGTATTACACTTTGCTGATGTTATTTGATAAATATGCATCTGATTGAAAGCCAGCGTGATGCTTTAGCTGCTCTGAATCTGGTCGCCGGTCAGTTTAAAAGCAACTTGCACCTGTAGGATTGGGACCAAAACGTCTTGCAGGTGGACCAGGAAATGAAAGACACTAAAATCTTAAGGATGGAATCTGGAGAGGGATGTGCGAAATAGATTAAATTAATTAAGATTGATTACGATTTAAAGTCAACTTCCTGTTTCACGTTTTTAGCTCTCAAATGAACCAATTAGGGCCCAGGAACTCTCAAAGCCAATAGAAAACTAAATAACTGTTAAAACAATGTATTTATTGCTCAACTATTCCCATCTTATGATCTCAGCAGCAACAGGACGTACTTTAAATGTGTAACTGGAGAAAAACACGGTGACCTCAATTTTTTTTTCTCCATGTGACAAGACCAGAGAAGAACACGGAAAAGAGTCACACAGTCTTCAAAAGTAAAGACGTGATATTCTAAAGCTCTTCTGTTTCCATAAGAGCTTTTCTGTATAGTCTACAATACCTCCATACAGGCATCTGCGCAGGCAGCTATAGCCTGACAACTCCTCATCTGGACACACACACACACGCACACACACGCACACACACACACACGAATAATGAAAGAAAAGATAAAAATGACCTGTGCAAACACAAACATGATGGTAAGAAACGCAGAAGGAACATGCACACACACTCCCCTCGCTGTCTCCAGAGAGAAAACAGCTGTGCTGACTCAGCTGGAGTGATTTGGTGTGACAGAAAAACACGTTTTAAAAAAAAAGGAGATGATGAGAGGTGGTCTTAAATCAACCGCCACACCTAAACAACATACTGCGGATAATCACAAATCACTCATTCAGTCGTTTCTCAACACGCTATTAAAATAGTTTTCCATGTTTAAGTTGTGAGGGAAATCCAGTGACCCCCCCCCCACACACACACACCTACCCCACCCCACCCTACCCCAGTCTTTGATGTAATGAGCTGAATGCCATGATTACACAAGTAAGTTTCATATAGTTTAGATGAAATAAACAGTTTGTTCTTTTAAATTCCTATTTTCATTCAAGAGGTACAGAACGAAAGGGACGTCCTCAACGTATCTCTGTACTAAGTGTGTGTGTGGTTGGTATGGCGACGCCATCAAATAGCTTTAGGAACGCCAGCCATGGCGCACATATTTCAGATTGGCACAAACATTCACACTCAGATGTTTCTTCTTCTTCTCGCATCTCTGTGGTTTGGTACTGCAGCTCGGAGCTGTGCTCTCCAGCTTCCTTCTCGTTAAAACGTAGAAAAGAGGCGTCGTTTAAACGTTTACGTTCATCTCCTCTATCTGCAGAACCTGAACACGGCTGGTTGAGACGTCCTGAAATACTTCTGCAAACATCATAAATGGAATGACGTAAGTCTGATTTTGTGGGTTTGAAATAAGGTGTGCATGTGTGTGTGTGTGTGTGTGTGTGTGAGTGTGCGCGTGTGTTTGTGTGTGTGTGTGCGTGGGTGTGCATGTGTGCTGTGTGTGTGTGTGTGTGTGTGTGTGTGTGTGTGTGTGTGTGTGAGTGTGCGGGTGTGTTTGTGTGTGTGTGTGCGTGGGTGTGCATGTGTGCTATGTGTGTGTGTGTGTGTGAGTGTGCTATGTGTGTGTGTGTGTGTGAGTGTGTGAGTGTGCGCGTGTGTTTGTGTGTGTGTGTGCGTGGGTGTGCATGTGTGCTGTGTGTGTGTGTGTGTGTGTGTGTGTGTGTGTGTGTGTGTGTGTGTGTGAGTGTGCGGGTGTGTTTGTGTGTGTGTGTGCGTGGGTGTGCATGTGTGCTATGTTTGTGTGTGTGTGTGTGTGTGAGTGGGTGTGCATGTGTGCTCTGTGTGTGTGTGTGTGCGTGTTTGTGTGTGCATGTTTGTGTGTGTGTGTGTGTGTGTGTGTGTGAGTGGGTGTGCATGTGTGCTATGTGTGTGTGTGTGTGTGTGTGTGTGAGTGTGCGCGTGTGTTTGTGTATGTGAGTGTGCGCGTGTGTTTGTGTATGTGAGTGTGCGTGGGTGTGTGTGCATGTGTGCTATGTGTGTGTGTGAGTGTGTGCATGTTTGTGTGTGTGTGTGTGTGTGAGTGTGTGCATGTTTGTGTGTGTGTGTGTGTGTGTGTGAGTGGGTGTGTATGTGTGCTATGTGTGTGTGTGAGTGAGTGTGTGCATGTTTGTGTGTGTGCGCGTGCATGCGTGTTTGTTTGTGTGTGTGTGTGTGTGTGTGTGTGTGTGTGTGTGTGTGTGTGTGTGTGTGTGTGTGTGTGTGTGTGTGTGTGTGATAGAATGAAAGAGAAATCAAAGCTCATCTTTTTGCCATCGTTTCCTGCTCTTTGAAATGAATGAAGCATAACCCTCCTGAAAGCTAAAGCTAGCACAAACACACACACACACACACACACACACACGTCCAAAGGAAATGCTGACCCTGCGTTTCAGAGTCCAGCAGCACAGCGAGTGTGCCGCAGGACGGGTCGGATGAACTGACGCGCACGCACGCACGCGCTAACATAAGAGGCTGGAAATAAAAAGTGAGAGTGTGTGTCTTACCACGACTGATTCTCTGTTTCTCTCCGGACAGAATTCCAGGAGTGTCGATCACACTGATGCTTTCCAGCACAGGGTTAGGAAGCTGGGCACACACAAACCTGCACACACACACACACACACACACGAGGAAGACGAGAGGAGAGGACAAAATCAGGACAGAAGTGTGAAATGTTCTAATAACAAATATCATCCTGCTGCAGCCCTCTTCCTCCCTTCTCCTCTATCTGCTGCCCCCCCCCCCCGCGTCTCTTCAGCTGAATAAACAGGAAGAAGCCAGCGGTCACCCTGCTAATCCCCCCCGACAGTCAGCCTCCTTTCTGCAAAAGGTGAGGGAACTGCTCCAAGGGTAAAGACTTATTCTGAGCTTCGACTGTGAAGGACACCTCTCTCTACCCCCCCATGCACTCGTCCGTCTACAGAATGAAGTCTGACCAGTTAGGGGGGAGAAATTCAATCACACAGGAATGTGGAGTAGCGGTGTGGATTTTCACTTCTACTCTCGTTCACGTTTCTTCTCCTACGTCCTCTTTCTCGGAGTGTTCACGGTCATCAAATCGGTTTGACATCCTGCGTCTCCAGAAAAACCTCCGAACACGTCTCAACGCCTGCTGATTTCGCTCAGAACGCTCGGGGAGGGCGGTCTACCTGTTGAGAAACGCATTGCCGAATGCGTTCAGCTTTCTGAAGGGCTTCTTGGGGTCAACCACCAATGCGTTGCCGGGCACCACCCCTTCGGTGTCGCCGTGCATCACTGCGATGAAAGAATCCGTGGTGGGTTCGGGGCCGATCCTCATTCCAGGAAAATCCTGCTCCAACAGGTAGCTGCAGGTGAGGAGGAGAGGTCACGCGTTTAGCACAACAAGATAAGAGATCTCCTCAAACAACCGAACAGTGTGTGGAACCAAGTGTGCATATAGGCCTTGCGGTATGAGGGATTAATCCTCTAGATGCAACCAGAAACAAACAATAGTGGATTTAAAGGAAGTCACCCATGGGGGGATTAAAAGAGACGCCAGAGCAGACATATTTAGATTAATTTGCTTTTATTTCTGAGCATTTATGTCCCAAAAAAGCTCTTGGAAGTAAGATGCAGTAAAAAAAAAACTCACAAAAGCAGTATTTTTTGATTAGATGCTGCTGGAACAAAGATCTAGGAAATGTTTACATGATTACGAGCTAAGCAGCTGCCATGCACAAGCTCCAAAATAGGCAGAAATTAGATCCATGCAACCAACATGAAGCACGATTTATTATTTTGAGGAGTTTTGTAATCCGATGAATGGCAGATGGTACATTAGATTAATATCAATCAACTACAATTTAAAGGCTCCAAACGCCTTTTCTTGATCTGTAATTTATAGTAAACCATCAGGTCTAAAACATAACTCCCTCTGAGGTGCTGAATTTAAAAATAATTAGAATTGTGTCACTTTTTTTTTTATACCTGCACAATCTTTAGTTTCTATTTTGGCTTCAGTCCTGGAACACCAATCACGTTGCAGTGATGTCATGTCATCATAACTCAAGTTCAATTCAATTCAAGTTTATTTATAAAACGCCAAATCACAACAAGAGTCGTCTCAAGGCTCTTCACATAATAAACATTCCAATTCACAGTTCATTAAGCCAATCAGAAATAATGTTTCCTATATAAGGAACCCAGCAAATTAGCAATCCTCATACTAAGCAAGCATGCAGCAACAGTGGAGAGGAAAACTCCCTTTTAACAGGAAGAAACCTCCAGAGGATCCTGGCTCAGTATGAGCAGCCATCCTCCACGACTCCCTGGGGATGGAGAAGACAGAACACACACACACACACACACACACACACACACACACACACACACACACACACACACACACACACACACACACACACACACACACACACAGAGAGAGAGACACACACACACACGCGCGCGCACGCACACACACACACACACACACACACACAGAGAGAGAGACACACACACACACACACACAGAGAGAGAGAGAGACACAGACACACACACACACACACACACACACACACACACACACACACACACACACACACACACACACACACACACACACAAACAAGTAATGTGTCTATAGTTATATTGTGATGTCTTAGTAAATATTGTATTTGGTGAGAGATAAACTTTATTGTATTTATTCTAGTGGATCTATAATTAAACGGGTAAACTAGTAGTAGCACATCAAAAGTCAATGAAAACAAAAAGTTATTATCAGGAGAGGGTGAGAATGTATTAGTGCATCAATGTCATTCTGGATTGACAACCGGGCTACAACAGCTAACTCTAGCTTTAGGAGGTGCGACACGCCTGATTCATGCTTCTCCGTCAGCTCCAACAGGGAGAGACACGCACGGACGGACGGAGACGTTTTGCCCTCATCCTTCTCCGTCTCCTGAAGAGCGTTGCAAAGCAATTCCCTGCCAGGACAACAGAGGGCGTAGCGCTGTTCTGTGGTATCCTGTCATGTATCCTGTCCAAGATAGTGTGTTTATATTGTGTTTTTATTTTATTTTTTTGTATACAAGATACTTTTTAACACGGACAAATTGGTCTCTCATTCTTCTCCACCTCTTCATGCGCTCCCCACCTCTAAACCCACGTTTCCTGTCATTTCCGTCCACAAATAAAAACGCCTGCTGCGCATCTTTTCACTCCTCCAGTCACGGAGGAATTAAACGTTCATATTTTTAGAGTTTTTTCGCGAGGTGTTCTTCAAGCTGCTCCATGTCTGCCGCTAGTTATTCTCGGCTCTCTTTATGTTTTTGAGGGCGCAATGGCGGCGGTGTAGACGACAGCGGCGTCCTGACCAATCACAAGCTTGCGTTCTCCGTCTCGACCATCGACATACATATATATGTATGGCCGTGTTCGAGCTATGGATGTTGTAGGGCTGTCGTGGTTGACACAACTCTGCAACATTGCGTGGTCATCAGGGGCAGCTCCTGTGGAGGGGCAGACCGGGGTGGTGGTCCCCATCTTTAAGAAGGGTGACCTGAGGGTGTGTTCCAACTATAGGGGGATCACACTCCTCAGCCTCCCTGGAAAGGTCTACTCAAAGGTACTGGAGAGGAGGGTCCGATCGATAGTAGAATCTCAGATTGAGGAGGAGCAATGTGGTTTTCGTCCTGGCCGTGGAACTGTGGACCAGCTCTATACCCTTGCACGGGTGATGGAGGGGGCATGGGAGTTTGCCCAACCAATCCACATGTGTTTTGTGGATTTGGAGAAGGCTTATGACCGTGTCCCCAGGGGCACCCTGTGGGGGACGCTCCAGGAGTATGGGGTGGGTGGCCTTTTGTTAAGGGCCATTCAGTCAGTCAATTTTCATTTTTAATCAGCTAAAGCAAATATAGGCCATTCCCATCTGTACCGGGTCGGCCCCAGCCTGGCCCGGTTGATTCCACACATCCTTGCTTAGGTATGCAAGGAATGCAGTCAGAGACACTTTCAGCTTCTGGGTAATCAGCATGATAATGAATTGAGCATGCCTTAAGCCCATGTGGGCTGATTCTACGCACCAATCAGAGGCTTGCTCTAATGGAAGGTGTGAATTTGCTGTCAGCAGTGGGTGTGTTGGCCCTGGTCGGCCTGAAGCAGACCCCCTCGAGAAGACGGCTGAGAATGAGCCTTGGTTGGCCCGGGAAAATTCCAGGCCACCCAGATATGTAAACAACCTACGCTGCCCGGCCCGGGCCGACCCGGTACAGGTGGGAATGGGGCTATAGAGTCCATTTGAAAACAAAGTCAGGTAACGTGTTGCAGTTCTTCTTAGAGATCGTCTCCACAAATGCACACCTTGCCAGAGGAGCCCGCAGTGCCTGGCAGAGCCATCTCTACGAGTCTGTTTAATGCAAACCCTCTTTTCTGTAATGAGGTTGTGCAATCCATGTGCACAGCTGCAGAGCGTCATGTACAGCGTGATGTATGAGATCTGGGTGAATTTAGGTGCAGATCCCACACACGTGTCTGTAGGGAGTCCATTATTTTACAATCTGTAAAACATTAAGCTTCTACTGAAAATCACAGTCAAATGTCTCATTAATCTATAACCAGGAGGTAGAAATGTGTTTAGTCACGCTCATATCTGTGGAGTGAGTTGGGGGTTTTATGGCTCAAAGGTTAAATCAATAATTTTGGCCTCAAGCAGTCTCAGATTTCTGATCTGTGAGTAACTGAAGACAGAGCGACCGCTTTAGTCCCTCGCACATCAAAATCTGCTGAACACACGGGGGGGGGGGGGGGGGGGGGGGGGGAACACGATTTTAGAGTGTAGAACGACAAGAAGGAAATTAAAACAGATTGCTTTTTGACCTTATTGAAGCCTGAATTGTAAATGACATGAAAATGATGTGAAGAGATAAAAGTTACTGAGGTCTACATCCTACAAACGCTGCGAGGGTCAAACTGCTGCTGGGTGAGGGTGAAAGAGGAAGTTAGTGAGAAACAGACACTGAAAGAAGATGAGAGCAGAGATGTCCACATGTTTTGTAGCAGGAAGTCACGAACAGCATCCTCTGGCTTTCAGAGACTTAACCCGCTAATTACCCAGTGGACTCTGCAGTGCTCCATCAGTGTGAGAGAGAGAGAGAGAGAGAGAGAGAGAGAGAGAGAGAGAGAGAGACAGAGAGAGAGAGAGAGAGAGAGAGAGAGACAGAGACAGAGAGACAGAGACAGAGACAGAGAGAGAAAGAGAGACAGAGAGAGAGAGAGAGAGACAGAGAGAGAGAGAGAGAGACAGAGAGAGAGACAGAGAGACAGAGACAGAGAGAGAGACAGAGACAGAGAGAGAGACAGAGAGACAGAGACAGAGAGACAGAGACAGAGACAGAGAGAGAGAGAGAGACAGAGAGAGACAGAGAGAGAGAGACAGAGAGAGAGAGAGAGAGACAGAGAGAGAGAGAGACAGAGAGACCCAACAGGACTGCAGCGGCTCTTCACCTCAAAAAAGAAGTTCAACAAACAGCTCCTACCATTTCTCAGCCTCACACACTAATTCCAGAGATCCTCCAAGGCAGAGGCAAAGCAAAACTTACAATAGAGTTGAACACCATTGAAAATACGTGTCCAAGTAACTTTTAAAAACTCTCAACGTAATTGACTCACCAGAAATGTAATCAGATGATGATATACGCAGCATCTACCTGTGCAAATACAAAAAATAAAAAAAACTAGGCGTGTAAATCACTTGCTTGATCACGACATGATTATAGTCGATTGGCTCATTACTGGAATGCTTAAAAAGCGTCAAACAATGGATGTCCATTAATTTTCTTAATCTCAACAACAAAAAAACTGAAATTTTACTATTTGGTAGTCCTAATCTTTTAAACAACGCTGTTAGTCCTCTTGGTCCTTGCTCTGGCTTTCTAAAACCCCGTGTTAAAAACCTTGGTGTGTTTTTAGACGGTTCTTTTACTCTTCACAGACAGGTGAGTGCAGTGGTCCAATCAGGTTTTTATCATTTAAGGCAGATACCAAAGATGAAGCCAAACCTTCCTGCTAATGTCCTCGAACATGTCATCCACCTGTACGTGTCTTGCCGATTGGACTACTGCAACTCCCTGTATTCTGGTCTGGACCAGTCCTCCCCACACCGACTTCAGCTGGTCCAAAATGCAGCGGCCTGATCACATAACCCCGGTTCTGGCCTCTCTCCATTGGCTTCCTGTCTCTTACAGGATCCATTTCAAAATTTTACTTTTGGTTTTTAAATCCCTTCATGGCCTGGCCCCAGTTTACATCTCAGAGCTGCTGTCCGCTTACGTCCCTGCCAGAACCACGAGGTCCAGCTCTCAAGCTCTTTTAACAGTTCCAAAAACCCGCCACAAGACTCGCGGCGACAGAGCGTTCTCTGTGGTTGGGCCCAAACTGTGGAACAAGCTACCTCTCAACATCAGGACCACACAGAATCTAGAGCATTTTAAATCCCTTCTTAAGCCGCATTTTTTTTTATTAGGCTTTTAATGCAGGCTGACTTGAGCATCTTAATAGTTTTTAACAGTTTTTATTACAGATTGTGACTGTTGTGTGCTCATCTTTAGGTTTTTATTGTTGATCTGTTGTACCTTGGTTTGTTGTACCTCGTACAGCGCTTTGGGTGTGGCTTTGCTGCTGTAAATGCGCTCTATAAATAAAATTGACCTTGACCTATAGTTGAACACAGAGGATTTTGATTCCATGTATGTGTTGGCATTTCACATTCAGTCACAATGCCATTTTGATTTGATTCGATTAAGATCATTTCTCAGGTAAGAGATGATTTCTTCAAAGACTGCTCAGTTCCCATGACTCCGCTAGCTTCTACAATTGTTGAAAGGTGTGGTTGAATGAATAAACATTTTCAATTGGTTATTTCTGATTATAAATCTGCCACTTTGACTTTTTCATGCAGGCTGAACATGAAAACAGTCTTCTACACCTATTTCCTGCATTGGCTTCAGAAATAGACAGTGAAATGCTAGGATTTGAAAATCCTCACATATCTATGTCACACTGTGAATTTGCATTCATGGCCCCGCCCATCTTCCTGTGGCTGGTGCTCGCTCACATTAAGGCTAAATTCTTTTTCGCAGCGAGGAGAGAGAGAGAGCAGAGAGTGCCTTGGTGGTAGGGACTTTGCAACATGGCGAAACACGTTATGTTAGCCAATCAGACGCGAGGTGTGTGCATATCATTAACAGTAATGTGTGATCCGTTTTCAGTCCACCTCTGCAACAGCAAACTTCTGCATCCCAGAACAGGGGCATCATAGCTTTTTTTAATCACTCACAAGGCATTGATGTACACTAGAGAACACTGCAAATGTATGTAATAAGAGAGGAAACTACACCTTTGAGACGTTCGGTGATGTGCAGGAACAGGTGGAAAACTGGATGACAACGGAACTTTCAAAATAAAAGTGCTTTTGATAAATAGTTATTCTATGTTTGCATTTTGGATTGTGGCTACATAATCAATTTATTGATGTATTGTTACACTCCACAAAATAAACCTGCTGATATTTGATAAATTAAAAATGGAAATGTTGGTTTAAATGGGTCCAAAACCAGGTCAAAGGTTAACAAAGCCAGTAATAGTTCCTCAAAGAGCAAGTCACTCCAAATCAAGATTTTCTTGCTGATAAACTATATAAATGAGTGTCTGATCGTGCTGTAGACAAATGTGGTCAATAATTCGGTGCTTTAGTGCATCTTAGTTCAAATTTAAATATTCTGCCTAACGCCGGGGACACACCGGCCGCCAAAGCGCCGGGAGGCGAAGCGCTCACGAAATCTGGCTGCTGCTCGCTGCCCCTCAGTTCAGACCAGACGCTCGTTTCTCCGCTTCGGTCGAGGCGCGCCTCGTAGTTTTACTTTTAACCACATGGTGTCCTCCATTTCCTCTCTGCCTTTTCTCTGTTCTTTTCCTCGACACCCCCTTGCTGTGTGTGTGTGTGTGTGTGTGTGTGTGTGTGTGTGACTATCGCGGAATTGTATTTTTGAAATGCTTTATTTTGTTAAATTTACTGGCCTGCCTCTTATGTCTAGGTTTCTCTTCCTGTCAGTATTGACGCGGTCCACCCGCGGCTCGTGAAAAAAACAGTAGACGCCGAAACGATCGCTGCACGGCGAAGGCTGAAGCGCTGGCACGCGGCTCTTCGGCGGCCCATGTGGTCTATAGAATAGGATAACAAGGGCGCTGAATAAAGGCGGCCCCAATTTCGCGGCGCTTTGGCGGCCGGTGTGTCTCCGGCGTAAAACTGTCAGCGACGCACCGTCGTCCGGCAAAAACTCAGCACTGCATTTGAATTTAAATCTGCCATCTCTATTGGCTAAGAGGTACACTATGATGTTAGATGGTACATTATGATGTCACAATGTTTTGAGTGTGTGTATTTGTTAGCAGCTCCGCCCTCTCGGTCTGCAAGGCAACAGCATTGGTTGCATTTTTCAAACTGGAAGTGGGAGTAGAGCAAAAGTTGGTTTATGCTTGACGCGTCCTCAAGGTCCGCATGGCTCCGCGCGGAAAAGTTGAGTCATTTTGCGTCATTTTAACAACCACGCCCCTCCACCGCGCCTCCGCACGGCCCAAAATTTCCGCACCGCGCACCTAGGAAATTTTCTAACCACGCGGACGGTCGGACGCGGAAAAACATGGCGGACTGGCAAGAACTAGTATGGCAGAGGTTGGTAAATACAGACATTTGTATGATTCAGCTCTCAGAGATCACCGTGATCAACATGTTGTTAATAATTCTTGGAGAGAAATAGCTCGCACTGTCGGAAAAGACGAGAACGCTGTTAAAAATGCTGGAATGCCATGTTGTAAACAGTCATTTCTACTTCTACTATGGTGTAGTGTTGGATGCATGGCGTGGAGCTCCATGCTGCCCCCTACAGTTTGGGAGAATATTGGCTCACCGCAGAGACGAGCCGCATGAACCATTAACGCTGCGAGTTGTGAAGCGTGTTCCATCCGCGAGCCGCATCACCAAGCGGAAAGTGAATGCGTCAAGCATAAACCAAGCTTTAGACTCTGGTAGGGGTGACTTGCTCTTTAAAGTATCTACCTAGACGTTGAATTACACAAGGTGATCAAAGATGTAGAAATCTTTCAAGGGGAGCACATTGGTGAACAAAATCAGTGATGATGATCATCTGCTGAGAAATGATGATGTTAAAGCTTCTATTGGTCAAACCTTCTGTTAGCACTCAGAGTATCTCAGCTACTAGTGAGAAATTGTAGCTCAGAACAAGTAAAACTAAGTTGCAGCCATGTTTGAGTTTTCTAAGGTTACTTGATTCTGGTGGCCATCTTTAATTAGGTTAACTCTAAAAGTAAACTAGTTAGATGTAGATTAATGGATCACTTCCTTGGAGTTTTATCTAAAAATCTAGTGGTTTATTTTATTTGCTAATGAACAAATGCATACATTATGCAACAACTATGGAGCTCAATCAGATTTGAGTAAGAAAAGGTAAAGTTTTAGTTTGTTTATCCTTTTCTTAATTAAGAAGAATGCGACACAGATCTCAGAGGAGCACTAGACCTTTAGCACCGCAGGGTGTGAGAGCTCTCACACCAAGTTTCCACACCACTGTCAGGCTGTTTATTTGTAACTAGTGCTGCGTTCAAGAGCAACAAGTTACAATCCATACACAAATCTGAAATCACGATTAAATGTAAGAACAAAACGTTTCCCCAAGTGAAGAGAGTCTAGTTTTCTGATGCTGTTCACTGTAAACACACATTTTTAACCAGGACAGCTTCCACGCTATGCAAGTGATCACAGATACAACAAATGTATGTGGGTGCTGCAAGAAAAGAAAATAAACTTTTTATGGAGTCAGTAAAGTTGTCCAAAATGTGGCTTCTTTTAGTCTGAGCCATTAATACTTTTTCAAGTAGTTTTGCATCTGTTGGTACATCAGTTTGGGTGTGTCAGCCTCTCCTGCTGTTTTATCTCTCTGGCAGGTTGTGTCACATTTGTGTGATTATCAGTGCTAAATTCAGCTTTCATTGTGAAAAAGACAAGAGTTTTCCTCACCGAATGAAGCTGGTCTTCCCAGTGGAGTACTGTCCCACCAGCAGGACCATGGGTTTGTTGTCAAAGTCAGCATCTTCCAGGGCTGGGGAGTGGAAATCGTGGAACCTGTAGCTCTCCTCCAGAGGCAGAAGTTTGGTTTTGTAGAGTTTCTTCAGTCCATCACTGACCGTCTGAAAGACTTCTGGCTCCTTCTTCCTCCGGTCATCAGTTCCAAGCCAGCTGAACATCTCTGCGGTTTGCTTTTTCAGACACTTGACTGATTTATTATTATTTTGACTTTAAAAATAATTAAATCAACTGACCCTGATGTACGGAATTCTTACATTTAATGAAAAGGTTTTGTGATGCTGTGAATTTCTGCAAGTTTTGACTATTTAAACAATTTGCTTAAATTTTAATTAAAAAGAAAGCCTATTCTAAACTCTTTAATTTCTATAGTTTATGTCACGAGAATCCTAAATAAATGAAACGCTGTTTATATTTTTAAGAAGCTGAGGGATATTTAAATAGTTGTTTTGTTTTAAAGCCTTCAACTACTGTCTCTGGTCCAGGCCACTATAGCAGAACACTATTGATTTTTTAAAGACTTTGTTATTGTTTATAAAGCTGTAACTGTAAACAAGCTCTGTAGCAAAGCACCTAAATCATTCTACTCAGAAACAGCATCGTGTTACCGATATCGATCCCGATCCAGTTAGCTAGCAGAGTCCCAGAAACGATGCACCGAGCTGCTGTTGCTGTGACTAAAACAACAAACAAAACCTTTCGACAGCCGAAAAAGGTTTTCCAGTAAGAAACCAGATGTTAGTTTTCTGTCGCAGCCCAGTGCGGAATGTAGCAGCAGCTGATGTCCGACAGCTCCATTTAAATACCGAGCTGAAAGAAACCCGATCCCGGCGGAAGTGCCCGCTGCGGTCCCGCCCAGTAATGGAGGAGCTGAAGCCGCCCAGAACGACGCCATGTTGAATGAGGCGGGGGGAAAATATACCACTTGCGCCTCCTAGCGGACAAAAATACTAAACTAACCATAAATTTGATGATCATCAGCATTTTATCTACAACAAATTCACAAGTAACTATTTTATACAATTAACATTTCATCTTTGTCTTCTTCTTCGTCAGTTCTGAGTTATTTTATTCTCGAATTTCTTCACAACAAGGCAAGATTAAAGACTTCATCTTGTCAACCACTCAAAAAGAAAAGAAATTGAGATCTGCAAGGGGGCAAATCCTTTTTACACAGCACTGTATATTTTTATTATTAATTACATAAAAACAAACTAAAATAATGATAAAAAATGCATGCACAGATATTATCCTAAATTGAATATAGCTATGTTAATATTTAATAAAGCTTAATATTAATATTCCCAAGTGAACAATACAAAATATTAAGATTTTAAGGCTACATTAAGATAAGGAGGCTAAAATATTCTCCTAAATGCCAGAAACAACACAAGTGAAGTAATAGATATTAGACACTGGAGGGCAGCAACTCCCAATTTTTTCCTTGTTCCTAAATGCTGTCGGAAACAAGTGTTGTGTTATTCTTTACCAGAAGAAGCGAAATCCCCACTATTTCAAGGCAACGGTGTAAAAATGGTGTTTAGAAGTAGTGCACCCCCTGGCATGTGTTTCATGTTCTTTGTTCAATTTTGTATGCAATTTGTTTGTATACTTGTCACCTTGTTCAATAAAGCTTAAAAAAAACAGTGTTTAGAAGTATTTAGAGGAAGTGTAGGACCTCTTCTAAATTTTTTTTAACCTAGTTCGTTTTTTTTCCCTTCTACTCCTGCAACTTCTTTAGCTTAAAATTAATATTCCAAAGGAGAACAAGAAAGATTCTGATTTGAAGCAAAAGCAGTATTTACAAATAATCTTGTATTAAATTACATTTATTGGGCCCACCTATGTTTTATTAGGCCCAGCCAAAAATTAAGTTTCTGCCATCGCTACTGAACAGAAGCACTGTTTTTAAGAACAGACACACACATGCACAGAAAAAAACGTATAATAAACACAGTTTTTGCTTTATTTTTAGATCGCATTCCATTTGCTGTTCAGAAACAGTCACAAACTGCACAAATACATCAGCGACCACCCCAAAATTCAAATACATAATACAGAATCACATTTCCCATCAACTTGAGTTGTACAAATACAGAATCCATAATGTACATGTTATGTTTTATTTTCCCATCTCTGTAACGTGAAGGTTAAAAGCCCAAGGCAGTGGATTCACTTGCAGATCTTTTAATAATATAACAAAGAACATAACATAAACATAAAACGAGGGACAAAATACCAAAAACGCACAAAGATTTCCTTCATATATCGACAAATGTTCAAGTTCACATTGGGGTTTCTTTTGGATTACAGTGCAAAAGACAAAGTGAATGTATTTACTGCTGCTGTTTCACTGTGGAGGTGAAGCAGTAGTAAGCTATGGAGTGTGACAGCTTGTAAATGAGTCAGAAGCAGACAGGAGTTAAAAAACCAGAAAGACAGGACAAGCTGACAATGCAGGTAATACCGAAGACGGAAACACAAAACGAAAGCAAACCACATCAATCAACAACACAAACTTTAAATTTACACATTTCTTCATCAATCATCTTAAAGTGCTAGTCATTCACCTTGTAACATCATAGAACAATGTCTGACTCTGATCATCCACAACTTTATAGTGCATCTACTGTTATAATTCAGTTACATTTACCACCGATACAAAAATATTAATTTTCTGTCTCTAAAGAGAAGTTTAGGAGATTTATCTGGAAACCAAATAAGGAACCTACAGAATCATAACAAATGTTGTTTACTTTATAAAGGGTTGGGAAATTTCCCCACTAAACCAGCAGACCACAACCAAAGCCTATGATGCCCATCCATCCATCCATCCATTGTCTGAACCCATTTTGTCCATGCAGGGTCGCGCGGGGGGTAGTTGGTGCCTATCTCCAGCGGTCAACGGGCAATCAGGTGGGGTACACCCTGGACAGAGAGCCAGTCCATCGCAGGGCAACACAGAGACACACAGGACAAACAATCGCACACACACACACCTAAGGACAATTTAGATAGACTAATCAACCTAACAGTCATGTTTTTGGACTGTGGGAGGAAGCCGGAGTCAGTGGCGTGTCCAGATCTTTTAAAATGGGGTGGCCCAGGTGAGGCACAACTTTGTGCATGGGTGGCACCAACGGTTATGCTTTTTTTGTTTAACCCCAAAGCCTTTTGTGGACAATGAAAAGCCTATTTAAAGGTAAATTAGTGTGGGGGCACCTGGGGTGACCAATTAGATTCCAAGGGTGGCATGTGCTACCCCAGGCCACTCCCTGTACACGCCCCTGGCCCGAGTACCCAGAGAGAACCCACGCATGCACAGGGAGAACATGCAAACTCCATGCAGAAAGATACCAGGCCGGGAAGCAAACCCAGGACCTTCTCGCTGCAAGGCAACAGCTCTAACCACTGCACCACTGCGCAGCCCACCCTATGAAACCTAAAACGTAATATTTTTATCTATTAAATGGCTAATTTATTATAAATGTGGCATACTTGTGCTATACACTGAAATTAGCGATTAAATAGTAATGCAACAATTCTAAAAGGAAATTAAATTGGCACTTGCCACTTGCAATACTTAGATCCTTCACTAGAGGGTCTGCATCAGATTCAATACAGCTGATTTTTTCGAGGAAAGTCTAATTTTGTTAGAGGTCGAGCTCTTTAAAACATTTTATTAAATACAGCTTAACAACTATGATGGATTTGGTAGTTTTGAAATATTAGAAACCTGAATTTTAAGAGTTTTCTTGTATTAGTTGTTGGGATCCAGTGGAGCGTCATTACTGGGGGGTTAACCGACATTGGTTTTTATATTGCCAATATAGATATGTTCATGGCCAATATCTAGATGTTTTCCACCTTATTTTCATGGTAAATTGTCACTAATAATCAGCTGATGCGCATTTTTGAACTCTGAATTTATCTAACTGTTAAATCTGAACTCTGTGCACTGCTCAGTGTTAAAGTTAGACACCTAAACAAAGTTAATTTAGATTATTTACTATGCAGATGCTATTAGTGAACATAAAAATACATTTAAATTAAATTCTGCAACAGCACCGGGTTGCCCAAGGCTTTCCTAAGGACAGATATCGGCCGAAGCTGATTTATAAAAAACGGTAACCATCGGCCCGATATATCCGTCTACCCCTAATCATTACATCCCCTTAAATAAAAAAATAATAAAATGCAGACACTAATGACGGTACTTATTATCACACTTAGATTTCCTTCATGGGTTAATTACAGTGCAATCTCTTTGCAAGCATCAAAAATCCAACGTGTACAGCATGGACGTAATTTTGGGGGGGTACGGGGGGACATGTCCCCCCCACTTTTTCCAAAGTCAAGTTTTGACCCCTGCACTTTTTACCATCCAAAAACAATATTACACTATGTTAAATTGACACTGGTTGAGCTCTAGGACCAAGCGCCCCCCCCCCCCCCCCCCACACACACACACACACACTTCTAAAGTGAAAATTACGTCCATGGTGCACAGACATAAAAGTTACCACTAGTGCTTCTTTAAGTGTGATATCATCACATACCGATCCACATCAGTTATTAACACAACTGATCTGCTTGATTCATGACTTTTTTACCCTTTTGTAAAACTGGGATAACGTGTTGATTTGTATCTTCATCGTTTAGGAGATAACTAGGTTCCATTTATTTAAAAGCTCATTCACTTCCCACTCTGCATCATCATCATCATCCTCTTCCTCAGACGACTGTTTGAGCAGCAAACCTTTCAGCATTGACCCATCTCTTATCATATACGCCTCGTCTCTTCCCGCTGCCCCGTCTTCTTCTCCGATCTCTGATGGCTTCAGTCCACCCCACCCCCCCTCTTTCTTCAAGCCCCAATCCATCTGTGGCAGCACTCGTCGCCTGATCTCGTCGTTTCTGTAAGAATATGCATTCCCCTCCTCTTTCTCACCCTCAGTTTCCTTTGTTCTCTGTGTCACGACACCACAGTAGTCTGGTGAAGAGGGTGACTGCTCATTAGGGACTGGATGCATGTTTAGGATGGTCTGGGCAGCATAACCAGAAAGCAGAGGAACATTCTCAGTCCTAATTTCTGAATTGTTATCTTCATTAGACTTTTCATCTATCTCCTCCCCCTCTTGCAATTTAGGTATGTTTAGACTTAAATCAAAGAGGCCAGTTTGGAGGTTCCTGCTAATAAACAAACCTGAAGCCTCTTCACAACCTACTACCGATCCCTGAGAGGACTGACTTACTTGTGACCATGGCTGGGCCTGCAATAGAGCACTTGCCTCCGTTTGTGAATGATTTGATTGGTCGACTTCGTGGGTCGGCCTCTGGCAGAGACAGGAAGCCAGCTGAGGTGCGTAATTGCCTCCTGACGTGTGGTGCTCACACATCAGATCGTTCCCATCGTCTCCTTCATCTCGAGACGTTGCACCTGTCTTGTCCTGTTTGCTAACAGTGCTGTAATCAATTGATGACTCATCCAAGTGTTCATCTTGCTCTTGAAAGGGCATCTCGGGAAGGTTTTGTGATGCATAACCAGACGGAGGAGCAGCGATCTTTGGCTTGAGATTGGGATGTGGAGGTTGTCCGATGGTGCTGATAACAATAAGGTTGACGTTTTCAGGAGGGTGTTTGAGAGGAGGAGGGGAAAATGAGATTGGTTTCTGGGGAGAAAGGAGCAAGATAGAGACAAACTCATAGCAGTTTATGTTGAGAGTGACTGGATAAATGCAAGAAAGTGCATCAGAGTAGTACCAGTATGTGTGGGCTCTTCTGGTCTTTCCCACTCAGGTAGCTATAGAGACAGCAGCCAACCACCAAAATCACACAAAGGCACAGAAATGGAACGACAATCCCCACAAGTGATTTCTGCAGCTGCTCAATCACCGGATCTGGAAGGAAAATGGAAAAGTTGAAGGCAATGTTTCATTGTGAAACACATATCGATTGTGCAATAGGGAGCCTAAGGCCCAATCCCAATACTCGCACTGCGGTCTTCAGCAGAGTGCACTTGGAGGAAGTGCGCAGAAGTGTGTAAATAATTGGCCGAATCAGGATAGTAAGCATTGCGCCACTCACTGTTATGCATGCCAGTCGCTGTTTGCGCTACTTATGGTAAATGGTAAATGGCCTGTATTTGATATAGCGCCTTCTAGAGTACTTGGACCCTCCAAGGTGCTTTACAACACAATCAGTCATTCACCCATTCACACACACATTCACACACTGGTGGGGATGAGCTACAATGTAGCCACAGCTGCCCTGGGGCGCACTGACAGAGGCGAGGCTGCCGAGCACTGGCGCCACCGGTCCCTCCGACCACCACCAGCAGGCAACGTGGGTTAAGTGTCTTGCCCAAGGACACAACGACAGCGACAGACTGAGCGGGGCTCGAACCTGCAACCTTCCGATTACGGGGCGAGCTCTCAACTCCTGTGCCACCGTCGCCCCTAAAAAAAGAATCTTTATTGACAACTTTTAAACAAACAAACATTTTCCGGACGTAATTTACATTCATTTCTATTCACACTAAATCTTAGTCTAAAACATTCATAACATGAATAAAAATCATTGGTCATCCTAAAATGAACTTCTTTCATTTGATAATCCATATATTCAGGAAATGCACCTGAGCCATTGTTCCGCCTTAATCTCAAAATTCCCACGCAATGGATTGTGGGTAATACCCTTTGCCCAAGTCTGCATCTATGCAAGCTTGGTCAGAGTGTGGATCAAAAGGTGCAAAAGGGGCGTGGTCTACTTCCACATTTGAGGATCGGGACACCCTACGCACTTGCAGGGTGGAAGGTGGGAGGAAGTGTGAGTTGGGATTGGACCTAAGTCACACCCATCTACTTCCAGACCACGGGTCCACGGAAAGAAAAACAACAAATGCAAGTCAATGGGGCTATAAAAGCTATTTTCTAATCTCAGTTGATATGTGCCATGGATTTCACATATGATATCCATGAATTTTAAAGACAACGTTTGAGGCCAAGAAAGCGTATTTTAGAACTAGGGCAAAAGTTATTTTACAATTTGTGTGAAAACACACATAGGACTACAAATCGTCTCACCAAATTGACGTCATCAAACCAGACAGAGAAGAAGAGAAGATTAGTTTAGCAAGCTTCGACTGCTCCTTCCAGCACGACGGAAGTAGCATTAAATGTGGGGAAAACCGCTCTACATCCGGCCACGTGGTAAGTAGCTGCTATGCTGGGGTAGATGAGATTCTGCTGTGACGGCTGATTTGTAGTAATTTTATTTCTGAATATTTAAAAGTTAACAAATATCAAAGTACGTGACAGACATAGTCAAAACTCACATGATTTCTTTTCATTTAAACTGAAGTACAACATACCATACCATAACATACCATAGTTTCTTTATATAGCACGTTTAAAACGCAGCATGGCAGCTGCCCAAAGAGCTGCACAGGCTAAAACAAAACACGACCAATCTAAGGAACTAAAACAGAAGATAAAAATACCAGTCAAAAGCAGATAAAACATGATAAATACTAAGAACACATTAAAACAATGACACAATAAAACGAGTCACTGTCTAAAAGCCAAATCGTAAAAGTGGGTCTTTAAACGAGATTTAAAAACTGCCAGTGATGGAGCCTGCTGAACTCCAATTGGCAACGGGTTCCACAGCTTTAGGGCAGCATGCACAAATACTTGTTCACCCCGCGATTTGTATCGCATCCGGGGCATGCACAGCAGCAGGAGGTCAGCCGACCTCAACGTGCGTGTGGGTACATAGGGAGTCAGCAGGTCAGAGAGATAGGGAGGTGCCAGGTCGTTGAGTGCTTTAAATGCAAAAGTCAATAACTTAAATTGTACTCTGAAAATGACAGGGAGCCAGTGAAAATGTGTCAGGACAGTGGTAGCATGGCTACGTCGGTGCTTATTTGTCAAGAACCTGGCAGCAGCGTTCTGGACGACCTGCAGCCGATTCAGGGCAGAGACCGGAGCACCAACGAGGAGGACGTTTGCATAGTCAAGGCGAGAGGTAATGAAGGCATAGATGACTGACTCCAAATGCCTCCGTTTCAAGATTTGTCTGAGGCGAGTAAGACGGCGAAGTGGATAAAAGCAAGACCTCACTACGGACTTTATCTGTGGGGCCATTGTGAGTTCAGCATCCAGCTTTACCCCGATACTTGACACACACTGTTTGGGGTTGAGGGTTAAAAGGTCACAAACAGGGTGAAGGCCATTGTGGTTGCGGGGGTCAAAAACAATAGACTCAGTCTTCCTTTCATTCAATTTTAAGAAGTTGGATGCCAGCCAGCCCTTCACGTGATCTAAACATGCAGCCAATTGCGAGCCCGCATTCTTCTCATCCATTGCTACATATAGTTGACAGTCATCAGCGTAGATGTGATAGCTCAGGCCATGCTGATTCAGGATTTTGCCCAAAGGCAGAAGGTAGATAGAAAAAAGCAATGGCCCGAGAATGGAACCCTGTGGCACTCCCCAAGGCAGTGCACAGTCACCAATCTGTACAGAGATGGATCGGTTTGATAGGTAGGAGCCAAACCATTGATGTACCACCCCGTCACCTCAACCCAAGCCGGTCCAATAAAATATGGTGATCGACCGTATCAAAAGCCGCTGAAAGGTCCAGCTGGAGCAGCAGTACCCTAGACCCAGAGTCAGATGCCACCAGAATGTCATTTAGCACCCTAATCAAAGCAGACTCAGTGCTATGGTGTGGTCTGAAGGCGGACTGAAACACATCCAACAATGAGTTGCTGTTCACATGAGCAGAAATCTGTCCATGAACAATTTTCTCAAGGACCTTCGAGAGAAACGGGACTGTCGATATAGGGCGGAAGTTGTCATAAGTGGAGTGATCCAGACCAGGTTTCTTCGGCTGAACAACCGCATCTTTAAAAACCTTAGGGAACACTCCAGTGCTGAGGCTAATGTTAAAAATGTTCACGAGTGCCGGGCTCAGTGCAGACACCAAGTCGTGCACCAATTTAGCCAGGAGGCTGTCTACCGAAGAGCCAACTGGCTTCATGGAGCTAATCAGTTTCATTACGTCAGCAAGCTGAACTGGAGCAAAGTCCGAGAAGGCAGGTGGGCCAGGTGGTTCCACACAACTCGACTATTGCAATTCCGTTTTATTTGGTGTAGGTAAGGGTACTGTAACCCGATTGCAGCTTGTCCAGAATGCTGCAGCTAGATTCTTGGACTGCAAAAGAAAGCATGGACACGTGACACCAATTTTGGCTGCTCTCCACTAGTTACCTGTTGATTTTAGAATTCCTTTTAAACCTCTTTCAATGGTGTTTAAGGCGCTGAATGGAGTGGCCCTAGCCTATTTGGCGGAGTTGCTGTAGCCGTATGCTCCGGCCCGGTCACTCCGCTCTGAGAACCAGCTGCTGCTTGTGGCTCCTAAGGCTAGGTTAAAGTTAAGGGGGGACAGGGAATTCTCTGTTGCGGGTCCGAAACTGTGGAACGCACTGCACCTAACTATGCGGGGCTCTCCATCAGTAGCAGTTTTTAAAATGAGGCTGAAAACCTACTTTTATGATCTGGCTTTTAATTCTGTGGGTTAGCAGTAAGGAGTGAATTGTGCTGTACAGCCTAGACTGGTCTCCGCGATGCTGTGAAATGATAGCAGAAAAGAAGGTGTTACGAGCAGATCTAACTGCTCTCTGGTAGCGGGAAAGTGCATCAACCAGGAGCAGCCGAGAGCATGACAGTCTGTCTCTCTTCCACCTCCGCTCCAGTACCCTACACTGTCGCCTGAGGCTACGGGTGTAATCATTCAGCCAGGGGTCGGGGTCTGTTTCCACTTCGGTCTCAGAGGGCCAACAGCGTCCGGAGCAGCAGAGCAGGTCACACTGAACCGATGCAGAAGGCCATCTACATCCATGCAGGAAACTGACAGGGGCGGAGCCAGGGCATCAGTGTCCAAAACAGACAGAAAGTTGGAAGTCGTACTTGGAGATAAGCGCCTGGAGTAACGAGCAGACTGTCACCGGGCTGGAGGAAGGAGGTATGAGATGCTGAACGGGATCACAGCATGGTCGGAAAATGCCACAGGATCCACAGATAAATCCTACACATCCAGTCCAAAAGATAAAACCAAATCTAGGATGTGAGAGTCAGCATGAGTGGGAACATTTACCAATTGCTTTAATTCAATTCAATTCAAATTCAAAAATACTTTATTAATCCCAGAGGGAAATAGATTTGTAGTCCATATGAGTCTAAAACTTTGATAAAGTCCCTCACCAGTGGTTTCAGAGGGCAGCAGACGTGGATATTAAAATCCCCCCAAAATAATCCCCCGTTCGTCTTTTGGAAGCACATCAGCTAAAAGATTGGAGAATTCATTTTTAAAATCCTTATTGTATCTTGGTGGCCTGTAACAAAGTAAAACAAGGATGGGAGGAGAGAAGCCCAGCTCTAATACCGATACTTCAAAACTGGTCGGAGCCATCAGCCCAGCAAGAGCTTCAAGTGGGAGATTAGAACAGTACAGGGACAGCAGGAACGCCGGGACCTTGTCAAACAGGCGACCAAACGTCAGCCTGTGATACAGAGACATGGGCCAAACGGAAGGGGAGGAGACTTGGGCTCTATTCAACATTCGATATTTATTGCTGTTGCAAACAGGAACAAAAGTGGACAATCACCTTTAGCTTGCATTTCTGTTTGTTTTTTCTGTGAAAATATGTAGTCCAAAATGGCTGCTGCATCCAGCCGACTCAAGCACCAACCTGGCTGGAACTAGGCCAACTTTACAGATACTGAGCTAAACTTTGGAGTCATACTTGCTGACAGCCATCCAGAGAACTACACGTTGTGTAACATCTTTGCATAAAACTTTTACATTACCGTTCAAAGGCTACCCAGTCAACCTGTCGCAAAACCATTGGTATGAATAGGAAAGGCCCTTTCACGATCACAGACAAATCACTCAAGCTCTTACAATACCCGTGTGAACGCTTTTACTTAAATTTGAACAAAAATCTTATATGTGATCATTACATACAACAAAGGCATAATCGTTAGGTAAAAAAATTCTACCAATCTAGATGCGACTTGTGGATAAACAAGTCTAGCATTTGCTTCTCTTTGGTTTTTGTTCGCTGTTCCGGTCATATTTCTTTCTACCATCCTCAAAACAAAACATTCTCATTAACAGGAAGTCACACGGTTGTACCTTTAGGCGTAGTGAGGCAGTGCCAAGGTGAAGACTCGCTTCGCATTTCTATGGAGACGAACCTCGACTTGGCAGAGAAGCAGTATTTTGTATTGTACGCCATCAGCTGATATTTGTACGGGCTGGCGGAGACTGGGATATGATGCTGTGAAAGTACATAGTACATACATCGTATGTATGTGGTTTGTGCTTCAAGGGTTCAGCAAACATAACCAATGAACTTTACTCACCATCTTGTCGAGGTAGGTGTTGTGGATGAAGAGGTTATAAGATGTGTGAGGGTAGATTGAGTTCATGGAGACGGCTAGTGAGTGGTTGGTTGGTGAATACCTCATGGGTCCCACCAAAGTGACGGTTGCACTGTTGTTCTCTATTTCCACGGTAACTGACGGGGGGCCAAAAACAGCTACGTGGACAGACAAGGTACATTGTTTTAGCACTTTTTTTTTTACTAAAACACTCCAAATCAAATCTTCCCCAAACAAAATATTCTATAAGTGAAGATAAAGGCTCCGCCTACTTATTTATTCTTACTTTCTGTCTTTAGATCGTATCTCTGCGTCTCAGCCCACTTTGAAGATGATTTTCTTCGCAAGGCACGAACTCTGGCATAATATGCCTGTTCCAGATCCTGCATCTGAGCGCTCAGATCACACCAAGTCCCGCCTATATCCATGCACTGCCTCACTGGTCTCCAGAGTATTCCTTTTCTTTTGTTGGTGGTTTCACCATAGCTGCAAAACACAGAGCAGATCCACTCGGGCTGAAAATGACCATCATTTCCTGACCAAGTTACTTGTCAGGGTAGCTTAAGTACACATTCGTCATTAGCATCAAATAGACTCACATGGCATATTCCACTGTAAAGCGTGTGTCTTCTGGTGAACCATGCCCTGGAGACCAGTGCAGCACGGTCCTTAGATTCACAGAGGAGAAGTGAACACCAGTGGGGATGGGCAGACGGGCTGAGGCTGAAGCAAAGAAAGGAATGAAAGAGTGGACATTTAGAAACATAAACACTGCTTTAAGTGAAGGCTTTCTTTGTGTTTAGATCAGATTCAGTGTTTTAGGAGCCAAACCGCTAACAATTTCCTTCATGCATATTTGTGAGATTTTCCTGGTAATGGTAAATGGCCTGTATTTGTGTAGCACCTTGTAGGGCTTTACAACCCGCCAAGGCACGTCACAACACATGGTAAATGGCCTGTACTTGATGTAGCGCCTTACAGAGTCCTGGAATCCTCCAAGGCGCTTTACAATATGATCAGTCATTCACCTATTCACACACTGGTGAGCTACCATGTAGCCACAGCTGCCCTGGGGGCGCACTGACAGAGGCGATGCCTGCTATACACCGGCACCATCAGTCCCTCTGACCAGCACCAGGCAAGGTGGGTTAAGTTTCTTGCCCAAGGACAGAACAGCAGAATCCTTCAGTGGGACTGAACCTGGTGTAATTGCTCAACCTTAATTCTGTCTTTTCCCTTTAGCTCTAAATCATAATTTTATTTGTGTATACCTTAATTTGTGTTCTCATGTTTGTTTTTGTTGTGCTGTTTCATGCTAATTGTAAAGCGCACTGAATTGCCCCGTGTTTGAAATGTGCTACATAAATGAAGCTGCCTTGCTTACAACCTTCCGATTCCTCCTAAGCTACTGCTGCCCCAATCACAATAAAATGTACTTGAATGGAGTGGAGTAATTGCATCTCTGTTTACTTGAAAGGAAACAACACGATCTTTATGAAACGTGCATTACAGGAACTACGGTGTAAACCTATACTGGCTGACAGCTAAGCACCCATTATTATCATGAAACCAGACTGGGTCACATGAAACAACTTAAAACTCAAAACTACTCACTTGAAATTTTATACTAAATTAATTGAAATGTTTGGACAGTTTGTGCAAATATATATATATGTGCAAATATATATATATATATATATATATATATATATATATAATTTATTTTTTGGGTTGCAATGCATTCGAGCATTCTCTCGAGTTCATAAACTATAGCTCAGGAGGTTAGGTGGGTTGCCCAGTAATCGGATGGTTGCAGGTTTGATTCCGGCTCCCACCAGAGAAGAGAAGGGTCAGGTGCTGTTGCCAGAAAATGCTGCTCTTGTGTCCTTAGGCAAGACACTACCGGTCTTGCCGGCTGTGGTGGTCGGAGGGACCGGTGGCGCCACTGTATGGCAGATGGGCAGACCTCGCCTCAGTCCGTGCGCTCCAGGGTGTGTGTGTGTGTGTGCATGGACGTAATTTTTGGGGGGGACGGGGGGACATGTCCCCCCCATTTTTTCCAAAGTCAAGTTTGGACCCCTGCACTTTTTACCATCCAAAAACAATATTACGCTATATTAAATTGACACTCGTTGAGGTCTAGGACCAGGCAGAAAACAACCGTTTGTGTTGAAGCCAGTTTCCCATTAGAACATACTGTAAAGACCCCCCCCCCCCTTGTGTCCCCCCCACTTCTAAAGTGAAAATTACGTCCATGTGTGTGTGTGGGGGGGATGACTGATGATTGTGAAGCGCCTTGGGGGGTTGTTAAACCCTAAGAAGGTGCTACAAATCCATGTACCATTTACCAAAGAGACAGAATCGGAGAGAAAATTGCTGCATTAAATAAATTTCATTTTAGTAATATATTCGACCTCTTTCTGGTGTTTTCTAGCGTTTAGAATGACTAATTAAAATTCCTTGTGATCTCAGAGTTCTGTGGTAATTTGCGTAAACATGAAGTTTTCTGTTTTGTTCATTAATTTGATGTTTTACTGACTGGATTGTAGCCTACTTTAAATGAAACACACTTCTCGCATGTTTAGCAACAACAAAGCAAGGCAAGATTATTATTTTTTTCATAAAACCTTTTTTTCTCGCGTTAATAGTTTAACAGTCTCACCTGCGGTCCGCAGAACCACAAATCCGATCAAGACGATCTCAGTCCACATGTCGGTGTGGATCGACCATTTTAATGAGAAATCTGCGGTTTCTCACCCGTTGATCCTCTCCTGTTTCTCCTCGGGTTTAAACGCAATCAGATTAAAAACACAAGAAGATAAAAGTGTCTTAAGTTGGAGGGAACGCGGACTGCCACGATTAAACCTGTAAAGCCACAAAAATGATGCCTGGTTTCCGTGTTTAGGAAGGAATGTGATCTCACTGGTCGGAGCACATACACCTGAGCAGGTAGTTATGTGGAATGGTTCTTCACGCGCCTCTAGCGTCTGCCTTTAAGTTTTTCATGTTCTTTTTTATAATGGTTAATAATATGAATTTATATTTTCACATTTTCAAACAGTTTTTGTGACATTTACTTGATTGCAAAAGCAGTGATTTGACGGTTTTCACATTGTGCCTCTTCCTTTTCTGTATTTTTGTTTAGTTTCCCCTCCTTTTATTTCCTCAGTGACTTACTGTGTATCATGATGCAATTGTACAATGGGATAATTATTAACTAGCTAAAGAGATGATAAAACCATCTTTGCTGTGTCCAAAAGATTTATATTAGACCTGGAAGAACATCAAAGTTTATTCACTCAGATCTAGAATATCTTATCTGTCTGAAAGACGCAAAGTGACAAAGAAAACAGAAACACATCTTGACACATACATCTAGTCACCAATATTTACATCTCTTCAGTTGAAAGTTTGTGTTTCACTCATTAATAAAACTTAAAGAGAAATAGACTATAATAATTTAACAATAATAATTTAATTAATAGACTTTTATGACGATTCATAAGAGCCAAAAGACTAAGTGAGGCGGAATCTTTGTCTCGTGCTTCGATGCATACCCGGAATGTTTTCGTGGTCGGTCGCGTGTCTCATGTCTCATGGCGGAATTTGTTGCTGTTAGCATCTAGCTTGCTGGCAGCTCTGTGTTAGGTTCCCTGTGATGTTTGGATAAAAATACACGTTTCATATCGCAGAGATGGCGCTTTCCATGGAGACGCAGCTGCAGAGCATCTTTGAAGACGTTGTGGTAAGTTGCAATTTCTTAAACCGGTTAACAATTTAGCTAACGTTTATTAGCATCTCAAAGAGTGTTAGCCTATTCACTGACACTTACTGAATTTAGCATACACTTTCAAATTATTGATCTAAATCATAAATGCAGTAATTCAGAAGATTAATGGGGAAATATATGTGAATGTAAAACTGTTTTAGTTTTATTTTAATTGTCTAAATTGGACATTTATGTGTTTTTCTAACTTTGTTGGTGTTAGTAAATCAGCAATCATATTTTCCTCTGTTTACAGAAAACTGAGCTGATAGAGGAGGCTTTTGCAGGGTGAGGTGGCTCAAAATTCATTTTCACACTTATTAATTATATAAAAACTGGACAAGAGGGCTCGGCTTAGAGTTTTTTTGTGCTTTTATTTGCCGTTAAAATGGGGTAGTAAACATAAATGCTGTTTTTAGGATGTTCATGGACACTCCAGAGGATGAGAGGACTAAACTGATCAGCTGTCTTGGAGCATTTAGACAATACATGGGAACCCTGCCGCAGGTTCTACATTTGTACTGATAATTAATCTGTCGTTTTTGTAAAAATAAATAATTAAAATTTATTTCACTTCTGTCATTCCACCAGGACTCCCATGAGAAGTGTGTGCAATGGATTGTGCATTTCATACACAGTCAGCACAGTCCCAAAAGAATCTCATTCCTGTACGACTGTTTAGCGATGGCAGTGGAGACCAGTTTGTTGCCACCAAGGTTCATACTCACACTCATCCAGCGCACATTGCATCTTATGCCTTCATTTAGACGAAAATACGTCATAATTACTCCAGTGATATTTTTGATGTGACTGCAGAATTACTGTCTGTTCTTTTTCCTGAGGAATACAGTAAACTAAATTAGATTTTTTTTATGTTATTTCGTATTTGGTGACTTTCATGTTACTGTTGTTAAAGCTGATTAAGCACATGCACATCAGTGTATTTTAAATGTATTAAACATGCATCTAAGAGAGGCTGTTTTGTTTTTAGGATGGTGTGTGTTGCTTTGATAACCTCGAAGAGTTTTCAGTGGGAAAAGACGCAGCTGTGGGCCTTAACTTTCAAACTGATCCACAAGATAATCGGTGGCGTGGACTACAAGGTTTCTGACACTCAACGCCAGATGCAGTTTAAAAAAAATGCCTTCTTAATGAATATGCTGTGCAGGAAAATGTTGTTCTTGTTTATTTGTTGTGGTCAGTAGCAGATGTGCCTTGTAACTCTGCTGAAGGTTTTCGTACTTTAAAAGAGGTTTGAATACTAATTTTTGAAGTTTATGAAGGACAATATCAGTAAATAAAAATTCTAAATCGACACCTTTGCTTTGATCTGTGTTTTAGGGGGTTCGTGATCTGCTGAAAGCTGTACTGGATAAAATACAATCCATCCCTACGACTGTCAGTTCTGCCATAGTCCAGCAGCTTCTTGCTGCTAGAGAGGTGCCCTCCTTTCTGTTTACATCTTCAGTAGTTATGTTTAACTCATTCACTGCCAGCCGTTTCCTGATCGCTAACGGCCTTCGCTGCCAGCGTTTCTCGCCGTTTTTACTGTTTTTTAACAGTCACAGAACGTTTCACGCTAGCATGATGTCGATGCCAAAACAACCTAAACAAAGAGGAGACTCACCTCTTACATCAGGAAGAATCCGTGTGTTTAGAGCGTCATCCGTTCTTTCATAATCCGTTGTCGAATTGTGATCGGCAGACGCTTTTCCGGTTCGCGCCTCACTTTTTTTTACAGGAACGCCCCAAAACAATCTCCTAACACATGGATGTGTTGCTTCCTGATCATGTGATCTGTGACGTATGCGGATGAAGATCGGCTTCAGGGCTGAGATGTTTGTTCTCTCAGCGCGGGGGCTCGTTCCGATGCTCAAACAGTAAAAAAAAATGCAAATTGGCAGTGAATGAGTTAAAAGACATTTTGTGTAAATATGACTAAAAATGCCAGTTTTATTAACATGTTTACATTTGTTTCATATTCCAGGTGGTTGAATATATCCTTGACAGAAACGCCTGCCTCTTGCCTGCATATTTCGCTGTTACAGAAATCAGAAAACTTTATCCAGAGGGACAACTCTCACACTGGGTGAGTAGATCTCTTTATTTTATTTTCCTCTCATTGCATTTTTAAAATCATATCTTAATAGTCAGTATGTTTCTGTAGCTTTTAGGCAGTTTGATCTCAGACTTCGTGGACAGTTTTAGACCTACTGCAAGAATTAACTCCATCTGTGGTAAGACACACACCCAACGTTCATATCATTTATTAGTTTTGCAATAAAAAATCCATCTACGTGAATAAATGCAATCGTAAACGGCCTTCAAACAAACACGTGTAAAAAATATGAGAAATAAAAGAAATTCAATAAGAGGAACAACGGCTAAAGACGACAGGGAAGTATAAAATATCAAACAATCTCCTAAATGGGGACTGTTGTTGTTTCAAACACTTTTTAGTTATCTGTGTTGCTTTCATTAGCTTGTTTTCCATTTCCAAAGAGTTTTGACTCATTCCGCCTCGACACTAAAGCCAACAGGATTTTTAAAGATGTAGAATTACTGGTAAATAAACTAGAATGCACGTTATTTACATTTGTCAAATACAAAATACTAAATTCTCCATTTCTGTGGTGCCATAAACATTAATATATTTTACACATGTTAAATTATTATTTATAATAAATCACTTGGTGAATAACCTTCAACCTTTTTTATCCTATTGGCTTTTTGTGTTTATGTCATTTTCTCTTTATTTTTGCCTCAACGAGAGCCGTGTGAACTCATCCCCTCCTCTAGTGCTCGTCTGAGAACGAGGCGGGGAGGTCGTGTTATTTAACAAGCTGAGGGAAGTAAAGTACAAAAATAAATCCATTAATCAAGATAAGAAAAGCGTCAGTTTGACAGTGTTTACATTGTAAAACAAAACAAACACATTCTCACTTGTTCAACCCCCATAGGAAGGTGCTGATTCAGAGCTTAAATGCGTTTTTATGTGCATGAAAATTGATCTTGTAAGTTTCAGTAAACATGATTATTGTTGTTATGTCATGCATTTAGGTATTTTTTTTCATTTCAAATATATTCCTGTTGTGGTTTGTTTGTTGAATTCATTATTTAATTCTTTTATTTGGCCTCATTCAGGCTAAGGTGACCAGTGAATTGTGTTTAAATAAGTGATGCACCAACATGAAATTTTTAGACCGATATCCAATATTAAGATCACTGTTTTGACCGATAACCGATATTTGCCGATACCGATATACTGACATTAATGATTCTAAAATCAGCAGATTTTGTGTAAAATGAACATTATTAAAGCTGAATTTACATTAAAATGTGCACACACCACACACACATACACTTCAGAGATGATTACAATCACTGTCACATGACTAAAGAAATACACATCACCTTCTCAACCTCTGAAACAGGCAAACAAATGGAGACAAGATGGAAAAAATATCGGTTGTTAATATCGGCCTGATTTTATTTATTGGACCGATATTTTAAAGAATTATTAACATCAGCCGATACCGATATTGATGCTAAATGCAACTTAAAAAAAATTATTTAGCATGTCTGTTTTTACACAAACCAAGATCAGAAATACCTTAAAAGGCCTGATTAAGTGAACAGAAATATGCATTCACATCCATTTATTTCCCCAGTTTAGAAAATATGTAGTTTGCTTTGTCTTCAATTTAAGCAAAGTATCCTCTCTGATGTCTGGATGAGAAGAAAATGTCTAAATTTTGTTCATTTATTGATGAAATATATACGTATACTTTTAGATTTGTATCATTATATTTTTAAGATGATGTCTAATTAGAATTAAATGAGATTATTTAATAGTGGAATGTTTTCTCCTATAGTTAGGGATGCAACAATACCACTTTTTTCCAAACCGATACGATATCTGAGTACTCACCGATACGATTACCAATACCGATACTTCTACCACACAAAAAAATGCAATGGATTGGAAAACAGATTTTATTTTCTTCTCTTCTTTCACCAGGAAAAGACTGTGAGGTAGATGAAAAGTAAAATATATGAATGGAAATCATCACAAAACTAAAATATTAGGTGAACAGAAATGACAAGTTACAGCGAAGCCATTTTCAAGCAACTGCATTGGTATCGGTTAACTTTTACCGATACCGATACTGGTAGTGGTATCCCAGTATCGTATCGGTGCATCCCTACTTATAGTGAGCTTAAGTCTCCTCCCTTTCTGGTTGGGTGATGGGTCAGAAAAAGGACCGCAAGTTAACGAGAGCTGCAGGGCTAAAAGACCTATTATCTAATCTGCTCAACTCCTGGATCGCACATATGATGTGCTTCAATTAGAAGTGATGATGTGTGCTTCGACCACGCCTGCCATGTATTCTGAGAATTATCAGCTTGTAAATGTTCATAATTAGCGTGACTACAAATCAGATATCGATACGTCGCAATAATGACGTCACCACAGAATCTCCTCTCCCCTAGCGTAGCTGCTACTCGACACATGGCCAGATTTATGGTGGTTCTTTCCTCCTGAAGGACGGATTTGAAGTTCGCTGAATTTACATCCGTCGTCCCCGTTTGTCTCCGTGTCTGGTTCGATGACGGTGATGCACGTTGGTAGTCCTGGACTTATTTTCACACAAAACCTAAAATAGCATTTACCCTCGTTCAAAAATAAGCACTTTCTTGGTATCAAAACACTTCTAGGCGACAGTGGCACAGGAGTTGAGAGCTCGCCCCGTAACCGGAAGGTTGCAGGTTCGAGCCCCGCTCAGTCTGTCGCTGATGTTGTGTCCTTGGGCAAGACGCTTAACCCACGTTGCCTGCTGGTGGTGGTCTGAGGGACCGGTGGCGCCAGTGCTCGGCAGCCTCGCCTCTGTCAGTGCGCCCCAGGGCAGCTGTGGCTACATCGTAGCTCATCCCCACCAGTGTGTGAATGTGTGTGTGAATGGGTGAATGACTGGTTGTGTTGTAAAGCGCCTTGGGGGGTTCCAGGACTCTAGAAGGCGCTATATCAAATACAGGCCATTTACCATTTACCATCCATGGCACATAACAAGCGGGATTGGAAAAGAGCATTTTTAGCCCCGTTGACTCGCATTCATTGTTTCGTTCCTCCGGGGACCGATGGTCCAGAAGTAGATAGGCGTGGCTTAAGCTCCCTATGAGAATCAGGCCTCAGTCTGATTATATTTTTCCCATTAGACCCTTATAATAAAACAATTACAAGTTTAATTTGCCATTTCTAAAATTCCTCCTATTTGATTCAGTCCTGTGCGGATGTCTGTGTCCTACAGGTCGCTGCAGCCTGTTACCTGTGGTGAATAACAGCGGCGCCATCTGTAACTCCTGGAAGTTGGACCCCACGACGCTCCGCTTCCACCTGAGAGGAATGCTGCCGTATGACAAGGTAACATTTTCAGTTCAGCTGTTATTTTTGTTATTATCATTATTAGTCCTGTCAAAACTCCCAGATGTGTGTATCTCCTGTGTGTAGGACCTGTTTGAGCCACAAACGGGGCTTCTGCGATACGTGCTGGAGCAGCCGTACTCCAGAGAGATGGTGTGCAACATGCTGGGACTCAACAAGCAGGTGAAATTACTTTTATTCTTTTTATTTTACATCACTTTCTGATTTTTATCACTTCCCCTTTTGTATCATTATAACTTTTTTTTATCTCTTACTTGATTAGTTTTTGATAAAATTTCTACACCATACCTTCCATTATTATTATTTTTGAAGCCTTATCTCCTTGCCCTTTTCTTTTGTAATCCTTTCCTCCATGAAGCTTGGTAATGCAGCGCTGAGAGCTTGACCTGTATTGCACTGGTGTCAGTAATTCCCTGTTGGGTTCATGCAGCTTCAGCTCAGCCGAGGTCACTTTGTGAGCAGCCACAACAACTGTGTCCAAACACATTAAACCCAGAAAACTGAAACTTTATTCACATTTAAAGGGGCATTATGGAAGTGTGACAGCCAAAGCATGTATAGAAATAATAAATGTCTTCTTCATACATTCTCCTGCAATGCCCTGGTCCTGTAGAATGAGCCCTGGCATTTTTACTGTGATTGCCTGTTTTTCTGTAAAATCACAGAAAAAGAGAGATGCTCGGGTCGAGCAGGCTGCTTCATGCGCGTTCACGCTCGGGCATCGCCCGTAGCATTTGCTATCCGTAGCTTTAGCAGCAGAGAGAGAGGCAGTGCCGCTTTGTCGCTGTTCCTAACGCCTAGTGACAAAGCTAGCTACATTTCTGAGGACCCTTAGCTACTTTCTGTAGAACTTTCTTCTAGATATTTCCTGCAAATTAGAAACAAAATAGCCATTTTCACTCCGAACCGTTCTTTGAACGTTGTTTCAGCTGTCATCAAGGATATAAAAGTTACAGATACAAATGACATCACTAGTGCTTTAGCTCACCTAGTAAGACGTCGGACTCTCGTGCAGAAGACCTGGGTTTGATTCTGGATGTGAACATAGTTTATTTAGAGTTTATTTTTTACATTAATGGTATATTTTTTTACAGTAAGATGCCCAAATTTTTATTTGAGACTCGCCGAACGGCATTGAATTCACAGATAAAAAAGATGTGGGTTCAACTTTCATTTTGGAACAATTTTTCAAGCAAGGAAAGGGAATGATCTGAGCATGCAGGAGGACTGACCCATCATAAACCTTTGTCAGCTGTGCTGAAGAGAAAGGTACAGAACCACATTATTTAATTAATTAGTGTGTGTTCTCCTGTCCTCTGTCCTCCGGGCCACACACACACACACACACACATGGGACTGTCTCAGCTGTTATTTTCGTTAAGGAGTGTGCACGTACAGCATGCGCGCCTCGTGCACGAGCCTACTATTGAAGCTGCCGTTACGCTTTTGCCCTGAGGGGGCAGTCGCGAGCATAAAAATTCCGTAAAAGTCCGTAAAGTCCCTTTAAAGAAATGCAAATCTGGTTTGAATTTTGGGATTAGCTGAGCTGATGCTAACTGTGCTGAACAGAGCGGACTTCCAACTATAGCTCCTTAGTCACCACTTTCTCTCTCTCTCTCCCCCCTCTCCCTCTATTTCTTTCTTTCTTTCTTTGTTCCTTCCCTTTTTTGCTCTTTCTTTTGTCCTCCGGTTGTGTGTGTGTTTTTTTGTTTGTCTCTTTACCACGCTCTCTAGACTCTGAACATTGCCCAGGTATGTCGTTGTTCCTCTTCTGGTTACACGACCTGCCGACTAACCAGCTCACCAGACACCTAGACTTTATTTTATTTTATTCTTTATCCTTTTTTGTCATCTAAAGCCGCACCAATGTTCTAGAAATAGGAAACTGGTTGGAGAAAAGAGTGAAATGAAACAAAAGAAGAGTTGCAACAGTGCTTGAAATGGAAGCAGAAGGGATTCACAGTAGTTCGGCAGACAGATGAGACGTTACGCATGTTTATGGCAGATTAATGGCCTTTAGTCATTTGTTCATTAAACCAGACGAAGCAGCTGTATTCTAGTCACATCTTTAGTCTGATTAGTTTGCTCTGCATGATGATTAAATCTGCTTTTGATGCAGCAAGAAATGAAACATCCTCATCTGAGCCTCAGAATGCCGACGGTTTCAGGAAGAAAATAACATTTTAATAGTGCTGATTGGTGAACGTTAATCCTCTCAAACAAGCCAGCTTCTGTAGGTTTGAGTGTCTCATTAGACTTAACAGCTCAAATCAAAGCTTGATGGTGTTTTTTTTAAACTAGATTAGCTTGTTACTGGTTATTACACCTTCTTAAGCCTGATTCATGCTTCTCCGTCAGCTCCAAAAGGGACGGACACGCACGGATTGACGGAAGCGTTTTGCCCTCATACTTCTCCGTCTCCTGGGGAGTGTTGCAACGCAATTCCCCACCAGGGCAGCAGAGGGCGTAGCGCTGTTCTGTGGTATGCTGTCATGTATCGGTCCAAGATAATGTGTTTATATTGTGTTTTTTTTTGTATATAAGAGACTTTTTAACACGGATAAATTTGTCTCTCGTCCTCCTCCACCTCTTCATGCGCTCCCCACCTCTAAACCCACGTTTCCTGTCGTTTCCGTCCACAAATAAAACACTTGCTGTGCATCTTTTCACTCCTCCAGTCACGGAGGAATTAAACGTTCATGTTTTTAGAGTTTTTTCGCGAGGTATTCAAGCTTCTCCGTGTCTGCCGCTAGTTATCCTCGGCTCTCTTTATGTTTTTGAGAGTGCAATGGCGGCGGTGTAGACGACAGCGGCGTCCTGACCAATCACAAGCTTGCATTGTCCGTCTCGACTGACGGATGTTTAAGTCTGATTCATGCTTCTGTGTCAGTGCAGAGACACGCAACGTCCTTGCGGGCCTGCTGGAGAGCTCCGCAAGGACGGATGGAGTCGAGATCTCTTTTCTAAACATCTGTCAGTCGAGACGGACAACGCAAGCTTGTGATTGGTCAGGACGCCGCTGTCGTCTACACCACCGCCATTGCGCCCTCAAAAACATAAAGAGAGCCGAGGATAACTAGCGGCAGACACGGAGCAGCTTGAAGAACACCTCGCGAAAAAACTCTAAAAACATGGTTTAATTCCCCCGTGACTGGAGGAGTGAAAAGATGCGCAGCAAGCGTTTTATTTGTGGACGGAAATGACAGGAAACGTGGGTTTAGAGGTGACGAATGCATGAAGAGGTGGAGGAGACAAATTTGTCCGTGTTAAAAAGTCTCTTAAACATAATAAAAACACAATATAAACACACCATCTTGGACCGATACATGACAGGATACCACAGAACAGCGCTACGCCCTCTGCTGTCCTGGTGGGGAATTGCTTTGCAACACTCCCCAGGAGACGGAGAAGTAAAAGAGCAAAACGCTTCCGTCAATCCGTGCGTGTCTGTCCCTTGCGGAGCTGACGGAGAAACATAAATCAGGCTTTAGAAAAGAGATCTTGACTCCGTCCGTCCTTGCAGAGCTCTCCAGCAGGCCCGCAAGGACGTTGCGTGTCTCCTCACTGACGCAGACGGAGAAGCATGAATCAGGCTTTAGAGGTTCCTACTCTCTACCTGCCTCTATGGCCTAATGCCGTCACCAGCTCAGTGTTTTTATGTGTAACGACTCTTGAGTTAATAGTAATTTGAGTAGAAAACTGATCCTGTTAATTGTAGAAAGGGAGTATCTTTTCATCCCCAGATATTCGTGACTTGAAACCCTGCTGTAGACATTTCAGGTGCTGCTGCTCTGCATGTGTGAATGTAGTCTGGTGCCTTTCCGTTGCCAGTGAGGTCCTCCTGTGTCAGACCTGTGCTGCTGCCTCTTGTTGTGTTGATCTGGGCAAATCTGTTTTCCCCGAACAGTCGTCTCACTCAGTAGATCGCCTTTTATATGCTTGGTTTAGTTTACAACTTCCTTGTAAATAAAAGGACTTCCTGCAGTTCTGTGGGACTGTCAGACAGAGACTGCAGCTGATTAAATGGACAAGAAGACAAGTAAACACTACATCCTAGCTCAAGTACCAGGAAGATGGTCAGAAAGTACCCAGAGCTTTATTAGTCATTCCATAAGAGGCTCTTTGTTGGTGCTGTTTGTCTTTTAGTAAGACGTCTCTTCAGAAAGTCAGTTTTTCAAACATATGTAAATTTCGTATCCAATCGTAAATATACAAGATTTTAGTTTCAAACTCTGGCATTAAAGACACACATTCCTTAAAAGTATGGATGTCCAATATTATCGGTCTACCATTAATATGGTCTGAAAATGAAGTGTCAGAAAATATCGTATCGGTTTTTACTTTTAATGACCCCAACTTTTACATACCGTACACACATTATACATCAAACTCTTCGGCTAAACAGCCATTATCAAGCTTCTTTACTTAAAAGGATGAAATACTTTTAGTTTTTGGATCTTTAAACTTCTTTTCACTTTCTGTTTTGGTGCCTTTCTGCTGCAGTACTACAGCAAACTGCTTTAATTATAGGACTGCAACAAACGATTGTTTGGATAATCGATTAATCGGATGGGGTCTCGACACGATTAATCGGATTACATGGGGAAATTTTAAAAAACTGCTAGGGAAACTTTTTTTCTCTCCTTCCTTCACTTTATTAAACACAACGTTATTAGAAAATAGTTCAATAGCAGAAAAACAACATGCTTTCACCTAAAATATCTTACAGCTGCTATTTGTGACGACTGCTGCTTGTTGAGGTGTGCATGATTTGCTTGACAATAATAAGCTGCTCAGTGTTTGTTGTTTTGCCCTGGAGATCATAAAGAATAAAGTCAGCCTATTATGACACAACATGAACTTTTAGCATAGCAAGTAAGAAAGTTTTGACTCCACCCAGCCCCTTCCATGTGTACCATGCGGTTCGCCAGACAACACCTCCTTCTGCCTCATTTTTCAAAAAATGAAAAACCAGAAATGAAGCCTTCAGAATACTTAAGAAAGGGATGAGCAAGGGAGGATAAGGTGTATAGACAGAGACCCTAAGCTACACCTATCTGTGACCTAAAACGCTTGGTCCAAATTAAACAGCTTCAGGCAATTCTCATCTGTCTTGTTTGATCTCATTTGTAGACATTTATTATAACTGGAGATGTCAAACGACTAATTTTTAAATGTAATTAAACATAGGCTGTGAATTAATCAAAATTAATCACTATTTCCAAAAATGGAACAGTTGTGCAACACAACGAATCGACAACGCAATTCATTGCGTCATCATCGTCTTCCTCCGCCTATCCGGGTCCGGGTCGCGGGGGCAGCATCCCAACTAGGGAACTCCAGACTGTCCTCTCCCCGGCCACCTCCACCAGCTCCTCTGGCAGGACCCTAAGGCGTTCCCGGACCAGATTGGAGATGTAACCTCTCCAACGTGTCCTGGGTCGACCCGGGGGCCTCCTGCCGGCAGGACATGCCCGAAACACCTCCCCAGGGAGGCGTCCAAGAGGCATCCTGACCAGATGCCCAAACCACCTTAACTGGCTCCTTTCGATCCGGAGGAGCAGCGGTTCTACTCCGAGTCCCTCCCGAATGTCCGAGCTCCTCACCCTATCTCTAAGGCTGAGCCCGGCCACCCTACGGAGGAAACTCAATTCAGCCGCTTGTATCCGCGATCTCGTTCTTTCAGTCATTACCCAAAGCTCATGACCATAGGGGAGGATTGGGACGTAGATCGACCAGTAAATCGAGAGCCTGGCTTTCTGGCTCAGCTCCCTCTTCACCACGACAGATCGGCTCAGCGTCCGCATCACTGCAGACGCCGAACCAATCCGCCTGTCGATCTCCCGATCCCTCCTACCCTCACTCGTGAACAAGACCCCGAGATACTTAAACTCCTCCACTTGAGGTAGGACCTCTCCCCCGACCCGGAGTTGGCAAGCCACCCTTTTCTGGTCGAGAACCATGGTCTCAGATTTGGAGGTGCTGATCCTCCAATTCATTGCCAATGCTTTTAATAATCGATTTTCATCGATTTTATCGATTCGATGTTGCAGCCCTATTTAATAACACTTAAAACATCTAAACTGATTAAAGTGTTCAAACTATTCTTCTTTATTTAGACTTGGATAAAAAGTGAAAACTATTTGCAGTTTTATTTGCCCAGGTCAGAGTGAGTGTCCGTTTGCCGTTTGTCTGGTTGAGTGACCGCTGAAGCGCTCGAGAGATGTGCGCAAACAAAGAGCACAATTTGTTGTTTGAGGCTTGTTTTTTCTTTGTTGGTGAGCTGCAGACACTTTCAACAATGCATAAAGAGGATCTTGATTAAAAAACAAACAAAAATCAAACAAAAGATTGAGGCTTTTTCAACCAAAAGGCTTCTTTCTTTGAAATGGTGCTGTCTGAAAAGTCTTTTGGTCTAAACAGAAAGGATCTCACTGTGGAGTTATACTAGTTTGTTGTAGATGAATTTATAAACAAAATAAATGGAAGTTAGATTGCGACTTGTTGAAATAATATTTATTGTTGGTTTGTAGATTTTTCCTGGAAGTAGTCACACACACACACACACACACACACACACACACACACACACACACACACACACACACACACACACACACAGCTTTGTGTGTTTGAGTTGGGGTCAGGTGCGACTGACAGCCTTCTTCTTTCTCCTCCCAATTTCACCACTCCCCCATCTCCTTACCACCCCAGAACTTGTGACCTGCATGCAGGAACATGTTGCACGCTTTGAGTTGGTTTGTCATTTGATGCTTTATTTTATTTATTTATTTATTTTGTGAATTTAGTTTAATTTAGTGTATTTATTTTTTGCCGTTTGGTTTTGTGCTTTTCCATTCCTTGTCAAGTAGCTGTGGGCCATATGGCGATATTGGACAAAAGATTTTGTCACCAAAACAAAGAGATGGTAGAATTGTGAAATTCTGTCGAGAACAGCATGTTTCTGCCCGTTCCGTTTTAGACGTGACACACTTTGAGCCTGATCACTTACTGCGTACATTTATGAAACGTGGTCACCTCGTGCTTTGTTCACATAACTGAGGTGGTGATTCCGCTGAATTTACGTTAGTACTGCTAATGTAGCGCCTAAGCTAACACTTGTGAACAGACATAGCATTAGCTATGTTATGCTATTTGCCATTGCCTCATGTTATAAGTGGTAAAAATGTGTTAGCTTTGTTCAGCAAACGGTTAAGAAAAATTGTGTTTATATTTTTGCCATATCGCCCACCGCTGTTGTTGAGCCACCTGTGTGAATAAAAAGAGACCTTGGAGTGCAGAGATCTTCACTCCTTCTACTCCGTCAGCCATTTGTAGATCCATATATATTATTTTTTCCAGATTGAGTAAATAAACATGTGTGTCGTAGCTAGGGCTGAACGATCTATCGTTTTTGGACCGAAATTGTGACTTCAAACTGCACAATCACGTCACCGTCAAAGCTGCGGTTTTGACTAACCCAGGATCAGTTATGTATGTGTAACTTTTTTTTTACATCCGGGGTTTTCCCGCTGTGTTATGGTGGCGGGTAATGCAGGAAAAATTGCATTTTTTTGTTATTTAATACATTTAAATGCAATTTCTACCTACAGATTTCCTCCATGCAGTTTTGGAGTAGAACATGTTTTTAAAAAGCTCCTCCAGCTAAAAATCACAAGTTGCTTCACAAACACATTAAAACAATAGATAATAATGGGAGAAAATATTAATAGCTTTAACTGTTTTAATTGTATGATTACATAGTAAATATAAATGTGAATGATTTGTTGTACTAGATTAGAATCTAGACCATCTTTTCACTTCATCTGCAGGATGGCTTGGAAAGCTAGTGTTGGACCTATGTTTGCAGAAAATCGTGAATTGAACTGAAATTGCAATTTCTGCTAGAAAAATCGCAATTCAGTCTTTTCCTATAATCGTTCAGCCCTAGTCGTAGCCGAGGAGTGTCAAAATGACCAAATTTATCAATATAAAATACATTTTTGAGTTCAACAGTGTAGTTTAAATAAAACTGTTAAAAATAATTATAATTTTCTATTTAAATAAGCAAAGCAGGTCATGTGTAATATGAAAACGGCTTAAAGGGACATTATGGAAGTCTGACAGCCAAAACATGTATAGAAATAATAAATGTCTTCTTCATGCATTCTCCTGCAATGCCCTGGTCCTGTAGAATGAGCCCTGGCATTTTTACTGTGATTGACTGTTTTTCTGTAAAATCACAGAAAAAGAGAGATGCTCGGGTCGAGCAGGCTGCTTCATGCGCGTTCACGCTCAGGCATCGCCCGTAGCATTTGCTATCCGTAGCTTTAGCAGCAGAGAGAGAGGCAGTGCCACTTTGTCACTGTTCCTAACGCCTAGTGACAAAGCTAGCTACATTTCTGAGGACCCTTAGCTACTTTCTGTAGAACTTTCTTCTAGATATTTCCTGCAAATTAGCAACAAAATAGCCATTTTCACTCCGAACCGCTCTTTGAACGTTGTTTCAGCTGTCATCAAGGATATAAATGTTACAGATACAAAGGACATCACTGGCGCTTTAGCTCGCCTAGTAAGATGTCTGACTCTCGTGCAGAAGACCTGGGTTTGATTCTGGGTGTGAACATAGTTCATTTAGAGTTTCTTTTTTACATTAATGGTATATTCTTTTACAGTAAGATGCCCAAATTTTTATTTGAGACTCGCCGAAAGGCATTGAATTCACAGATAAAAAAGATGTGGGTTCAACTTTCATTCTGGAACAATTTTTCAAGCAAGGGAAGGGAATGATCTGCGCATGCAGGAGGACTGACCCATCATAATCCTTTGTCGGCTGTGCTGAAGAGAAAGGTACAGAACCAAATTATTTAATTCATTAGTGTGTGTTCTCCTGTCCTCTGTCCTCCGGGCCACACACTCACACACATTCTTGTTTTTGCCCCTTGTGATAGCCCGCTGGTTTTTCTATGCTTTATGGGATCCACCCCTTCCAGTGCGCGTGCACACACACACACACACACACGGGACTGGCTCAGCTGTTATTTTCGTTAAGGAGTGTGCACGTACAGCATGCGCGCCTCGTGCACGAGCCTACTATTGAAGCTGCCGTTACGCTTTTGGCCTGAGGGGGTAATAGCGAGCATAAACATTCAAAGTCCATAAAGTCCCTTTAAGGAAAAGAGTAAAAGCATCAGCATCGATAAATGAAATAAAAATCAACCTGGGCTGTGGCTTTGTTTGTCTCTAAGGACCATTGTGTTTAGGAAATCAAGCAGATCAGATTAATGTATCTCCTCATCGCCTTCTCTCTAATTTACTTCCCTCCTAATTTACTCACACCCACTTTTTTCCCAACAAGTAGATTTTTTTAGCCAACTAAATATCCTTGAAATACCTTGTTTAGCTTAATTTAGTAATTCTCTCTTCCATCGTTGTTATTTTTATGTTTCCTCTTTATTTTCTTTTGTTAAAAAAAAACTTTACAAAGTTTATGTTACTAATCATTCTCCGACTGCATGTGGCAGGACTGAACCTAAAGACTTACTTGAATACTTTAGTTCTAATTTCTAAATAACACCAGAAGGGATTTAAAAGCCGGGTGTAACCCAGATGACAGACAGGTAGGAGATGCAGTCCTGCATGCAAGGGACTAAAAATGTTGGTAACTATAACAGAAGCATGTTTTATAATAAAAAAAAAAGTTTTTTTTTCTCTTAACTTTCTCCCCCTTTTGCCCCTTTCTTCCTTCATCCTTTAACACCCCACACCCTCCTCCTTCTCCTCCCTGTCCTCAGCAAAAGCAGCGCTGCCCGGTGCTGGAGGAGCAGCTGGTGGACCTGGTGGTGTACGCCATGGAGCGCTCTGAGACTGAGGAGCACTTTGACGCTGACATTGGAGGAACGAGCCAGCTGCTGTGGCAGCACCTCTCCTCCCAGCTCATCTTCTTTGTGCTGTTTCAGTTCGCCGGCTTCCCTCACATGGTGCTCTCCTTACATCAGAAGGTAGGAAAGCTGCAGCAAGAAGATTAAAAACAGTTTTCTACATGTTTTTGAGTTTTATTTTGATTGGGAGGCTCTGTTGCACAATTATAAACTGTAAGGAAATCCTTAAAGGGGCATTATGGAAGTGTGACAGCCAAAACATGTATAGAAATAATAAATGTCTTCTTCATACATTCTCCTGCAATGCCCTGGTCCTGTAGAATGAGCCCTGGCATTTTTACTGTGATTGCCTGTTTTTCTGTAAAATCACAGAAAAAGAGAGATGCTCGGGTCGAGCAGGCTGCTTCATGCGCGTTCACGCTCAGGCATCGCCCGTAGCATTTGCTATCCGTAGCTTTAGCAGCAGAGAGAGAGGCAGTGCCACTTTGTCGCTGTTCCTAACGCCTAGTGACAAAGCTAGCTACATTTCTGAGGACCCTTAGCTACTTTCTGTAGAACTTTCTTCTAGATATTTCCTGCAAATTAGCAACAAAATAGCCATTTTCGCTCCGAACCGTTCTTTGGTTTGACGTTGTTTCAGCTGTCATCAAGGATATAAATGTTACAGATACTGTGAATGTTACTAGAGTTTAGTTCACCTTGTAAGATGTCTGACTCTCATGCAGAAGACCTGGGTTTGATTCTGGGTGTGAACGTAGTTTATTTAGAGTTTCTTTTTTACATTAATGGTATATTTTTTACAGTAAGATGCCCAAATTTTTATTTGAGACTCGCCGAACGGCATTGAATTCACAGATAAAAAAGATGTGGGTTCAACTTTCATTTTGGAACAATTTTTCAAGCAAGGGAAGGGAATGATCTGAGCATGCAGGAGGACTGACCCATCATAAACCTTTGTCGGCTGTGCTGAAGAGAAAGGTACAGAACCACATTATTTAATTAATTAGCTGCGTGTTCTCCTGTCCTCTGTCCTCTGGGCCACACACACACACACACACACACACACACACGCGCGTGCACGTGCTGTCTCAGCTGTTATTTTCGTTAAGGAGTGTGCACGTACACCATCGTGCATGAGCCTACCATTGAAGCTGCTGTTACGCTTTTGGCCTGAGGGGGCAATAGCGAGCATAAACATTCAAAAGTCCGTAAAGTCCCTTTAATAAAGCTGATATTCTTTTTCCTCAGCTTGCAGGCCGAGGCCTAATAAAAGGGAGGGACCACCTGATGTGGGTCCTGCTGCAGTTTATATCTGGCAGCATTCAGAAAAATGCACTGGCTGACTTCCTGCCGGTCATGAAGCTTTTTGATCTGCTGTACCCTGAAAAAGAGGTAACATGAAGACACGATCGCTGTTATTTGTACCAAAAAGACTTCAGTTTGCTCTTTGTCTGGCTGCTTTGAAATAAAAATATTAATTTAACCATTTTAACTAATAATTGTTGTATTTCTCATCATTACTTTAGTCAGTAATGCAGACGATACCTAAACTGTCTGTCCCTCTGCAGTGCATCCAGGTTCCTGACATTAACAAGCCCCAGTCCACCCACTCCTTTGCCATGACCTGCATCTGGATCCATCTGAACCGCAAAGCTCAGAATGACAACTCCAAATTGCAGATACCAATCCCACACTCTCTGAAACTCCACCACGAGTAAAAATCTGGAACATTGCCTTAAATGACTAAAATCACCCTTTTATCTAGTTAATTCTGTCTTTGGGTTTTAGGTTCCTCCAGCAGTCTCTTCGTAACAAAACCCTGGGCATGTCCGACTATAAAATCGCCCTGCTGTGTAACGCTTATAGCACCAACTCTGAGTGCTTCACCCTGCCTATGGGGGTTCTGGTGGAGACCATTTATGGAAACGGATCTGTAAGGATCAACCTGCCTGGAACCAGCTGCATGGCGTCGGGATCCATCACCCCGCTGCCCATGAATCTGTTGGATTCCATCACTGTGCATGCTAAGATGAGGTAGGACAAGAAACTTAAGTTACTTCAGCTGTTTTTGTTTAAAACTTTCACTTCCTGTTTGTCTTCAGTCTGATCCACAGCATCGCCACACGTGTGATCAAGCTGGCCCACACCAAGTCCAGCCTGGCCTTGGCCCCCGCACTGGTGGAGACATACAGCCGACTGCTGGTCTACATGGAGATCGAGTCACTGGGCATCAAAGGATTCATCAGTGGGTTTACTTAGGTTGATCCTTGTTGATAGAACACTTGAAGTGAGCTCTGAGATTTAGCTCATAACATATCTCGTCATCGACTTCCTCCGCTTATCCGGGTCCGGGTCGCGGGGGCAGCATCCCAACTAGGGAGCTCCAGACCGTCCTCTCCCCGGCCACCTCCACCAGCTCCTCCGGCAGGACCCCAAGGCGTTCCCGGACCAGATTGGAGATGTAACCTCTCCAACGTGTCCTGGGTCGACCCGGGGGCCTCCTGCTGGCAGGACATGCCCGAAACACCTCCCCAGGGAGGCGTCCAGGAGGCATCCTGACCAGATGCCCAAACCACCTCAACTGACTCCTTTCGATCCGGAGGAGCAGCGGTTCTACTCCGAGTCCCTCCCGAATGTCCGAGCTCCTCACCCTATCTCTAAGGCTGAGCCCGGCCGCCCTACGGAGGAAACTCATTTCGGCCGCTTGTATCCGCGATCTCGTTCTTTCGGTCATTACCCAAAGCTCATGACCATAGGTGAGGATTGGGACGTAGATCGACCGGTAAATCGAGAGCCTGGCTTTCTGGCTCAGCTCCCTCTTCACCACGACAGATCGGCTCAGCGTCCGCATCGCTGCAGACGCCGAACCAATCCGCCTGTCGATCTCCCGATCCCTCCTACCCTCACTCGTGAACAATACCCCGAGATACTTAAACTCCTCCCCTTGAAGTAGGACCCCTCCCCCGACCCGGAGTTGGCAGGCACGTATCTCATTCATCATAAATAATCTGATTAACCACCTCTTCACTTCAGGCCAGCTGTTGCCCAACGTGTTTAAGTCTCACGCGTGGGGAATCCTGCACACGCTGCTGGAGATGTTCAGCTACAGGATGCACCACGTCCAGCCGCACTACAGAATCCAGCTGCTGAGTCATCTGCACAGCCTGTCCGCGGTACCGCAGACCAACCAGAACCAGCTGCACCTGTGGTAACTCTGCATCTCGAGACATCGCAAGCTGTTCCTATGACCTAGTTAACAGATTTCTCATCTCCTTCTCAGCGTTGAGAGCACGGCTCTGAGGCTGATCACAGCTTTGGGGAGTTCAGAGGTACAACCTCAGTTCACCCGCTTCCTCAACGACCCGAAGACGGTTCTGTCAGCTGAATCGGAGGAGCTGAACCGAGCCTTGATCCTCACTCTGGCTCGAGCCACACATGTCACCGGTACCTCTTAGACAGGATTTGCATTTACTCACATTTGGTTTAATTTACTGCCTTTTTAAATAATAGAGTCAGGTGTTTGAGTCTCTGTGCTGGTTTGTCTGTATGAGACTTTTTCACAGGGTCTGATTCCATCCATGGGACTTGGTGTAAGGACATCCTCCAGACCATCATGAACTTCACACCTCACAACTGGGCCTCACACACTCTGTCCTGCTTCCCTGCTCCGCTGCAGGTGCAGAAGGTTTCCCCCTCAACAAACAGGGCGGGACAAAAGTGAATAAATGAATTATTAAATTAAACAACTTGTTGGGTTAACTTCAGCACCTGTGTGTGTTTCAGGCGTTCTTTAAACAGAACAACGTTCCTCAGGAGTCTCGTTTCAACCTGAAGAAAAACGTGGAAGAAGAGTACAGGAAGTGGAAGTCGATGGCCAACGAGAACGACATCATCACCCACTTCTCCATGCAGGGCTCTCCTCCCCTCTTCCTGTGTCTGCTGTGGAAGATGCTGCTGGAGACCGACCACATCAACCAGATAGGCTTCAGGTCCGCTCTGATCTTTGCTGCTTTTAAATCCAAACTTGTCTAGGCTCACTTCGTCACTCTTTTTGGTTTTTTTTCTCCTCTTCATCAGGGTGTTGGAGCGAATTGGAGCTCGCGCTCTGGTGGCTCACGTCCGTACCTTCGCCGACTTCCTCGTTTATGAATTTTCAACGTCTGCAGGTGGACAGCAACTCAACAAGTGCATTGAAATCCTCAACGACATGGTCTGGAAGTACAACATAGTCACGCTGGACAGGCTCATTCTGTGTCTGGTGAGGACGCGCAGAGAAATCTACGCTCATTTGACGCTAAAGCTTGGTTTATGCTTGACGCATTTACTTTCCGCTTGGTGATGGAACGCGCTTCGCAACTCGCAGCGTTTATGGTTCATGCGGCTCGTCTCTGCGGCGAGCCAATATTCTCCCAAACTGTAGGGGGCAGCATGGAGCTCTACGGCATGCATCCAACACTACACCATAGTAGAAGTAAAAACTACTGTTGTTTACAACACGGCATTCCAGCATTTTTAACAGCGTCCTCGTCTTTTCCAACAGTGCGAGCTATTTCTCTCCAAGAATTATTAACAACATGTTGATCACGGTGATCTCTGAGAGCTAAATCATACAAATGTCTGTATTTACGAACCTCTGCCATACTAGTTCTTGCCAGTCCACCATGTTTTTCCACATCCGACCTTCCGCGTGGTTAGAAAATTTCCTAGGTGCGCGGTGCGGAAATTTTTGGCCGTGTGGAGGGGCGTGGTTGTTAAAATGACGGAGCCGTGCGAACCTCGCGGACGCGTCAAGCATAAACCAAGCTTAACGCTCCAAACGCCACGCTCAGGCTTTACTCCTCTTCCTCTGCCATCCAGGCCATGAGGAGCCACGAGGGGAACGAGGCTCAGGTGTGCTACTTCATAATCCAGCTGCTGCTGCTGAAGCCCAATGACTTCAGGAACCGAGTGAATGATTTTGTGAAGGAGAACGCCCCCGAGCACTGGCTGCAGAGCGACTGGCACAACAAACACATGAGCTACCACAAGGTACAAATCACATGGTTTAGGTAAAATCTCACTTATAAAGGAGATCAGATAAAAAAAATCTTTACTCCTTTATCAGAAATACCCAGAAAAGTTGCACTTCGAGGGTCTTGCAGAACAAGTAAACCCTCCTATGCAGCTCCAGCCTCAGTACCTTCCAATCTACTTTGGCAATGTGTGCCTGCGCTTCCTGCCTGTCTTTGACATCGTCATCCACCGCTTCCTGGAGCTCCTTCCTGTCTCCAAGTCTCTGGAAACCCTGCTGGACCACCTGGGAGGACTGTACAAGTTTCATGGTGGGTGTAGACAAAGCATATAGAGAATGTGTGTATCTTTTATTATAAGTGTGGATGTGTGTATGCAGACCGGCCGGTGACCTACCTGTACAACACCCTACACTACTATGAACGACACCTGAGAGACAGAACCAACCTGAAGAGGAAGCTGGTCCATGCCATCATTTCTTCACTGAAGGTAGTCAGAGCACACACACACACACACACACACACACACACACACACACACACACACACACACACAATGGTGGATATAAGCATGAATACTCTAATTATAGGCCAATATCACTGCTTCCGCAGTTTTCAAAAATTCAGGAAAAATTATTTGATGTTAGATTGGAAAAGTTTATTAATAGGCATAGTGCTTTGTAGGGATGTCTATTGTTAAAGTTATGGCGATACGATACGTGTCACGATACGGGGGAGACGATACGATATATCACGACGATATATTGCAATGCATTCAGTCAGACGATATTAGCGATATTTTAGACTGAATTTATTGTAGAAAATTTCAATAAACAGTCCAAACTGATACTTGAAAATGTTTAAAATGAGGTATCTGAACCATAAAAGGGATTTACATTTCAATTGTGGAAACAAAACCCATTGCACACTGCTGTCAACTAGTGGTCAGCGTTTGAATTGCACAAAAAGAAAAGAAAATACAAAAATGTTTGCATGTAAATTTTTCCAAATATTCAATACACAGCTTTTGAATACCAATGTAATTTTGCAGGAAAAAGTATCATTTATTGCGATATCGATATTTTTGATACATGGCTTTTGAATATCGCTGGAAAAGATATCACGATATATTGCCATATTGATATTTTCTTACATCCCTAGTGTTTTGCATAATAGTCAATATGGGCTTCGTTCTAATCGTTCAACTGCAACAGCAATAACTAACTTAGAAGAGATTTCAATAGCAATAGATAATGAATGATATTTGGTGAGTGTTTTTGTAGATTTACAAAAAGCGTTTGATACGCTGGATCATGTAATATTATTAGATAAATTATACAAATACGGGATTAGAGGAGTAGCACATGAATGGGTCTGAAGTTATTTGATGAACCGACAACAGTTTGTGGAAATTAATAATATAAAATCCTCTATACATATTATTAGTTGTGGAGTACCACAAGGATCGGTCTTTGGGTCATTACTCTTTCTTTTGTACGTTAATGATATTGCTATGGTTTCAGAATTATTCAAATGCATACTATTTGCAGATGACACTACCTTATTTTATTCAAGAGAAAATATAAAATATGTTTTAAATGTAGTTGAAAATGAATTTACAAAAATTAAAATATGGTTTGATATCAATAGGCTTTCTTTAAATTTAGATAAAACTAAGTTTATAGTTTTTTGTGGTAGTAAAAAAAAGTGCTAATGCATCAATAAATGTTGAAGGAATTGAGATAGAAAGAGTAAAAGAAGTGAAGTTTTTAGGTGTCATTATTGACGAACACTTATCGTGGAAGTCTCACATAAATTATTTTAAAATTAAAATATCTCGAGCTATTTCAGTACTAAATAAGACGAAGTAATTGTTGAACAGAAAAGCTTTGTGAATTCTGTATAACTCGTTAATTCTGACATATTTGACATATTGTATAAGCATTCAATTTTTCTTTTACAGAAAAGAGCAGGGAGAGTTATTAGTGGAAGTGTACTAGGGCCCGACCGAATCGGTCGGACCGATGTGCTTTTTTTGGGACCGATACCGATATAAAACTTTAAACAAAGGCCGATATAATGGCCGATAAATCTCCCTCACAAAAAAAAATTCTTAAGCTTAAAACCTTCATTCTCTGCCTTTTTGATGCAAACTTATTTCTCTATTACACACCAAAGAACTGTCTCCATAACTCAATAGGGTTTCCAAGTAATGCAAATGAGATGTATTTAGCAGATCTCAAAAACAACAGAACACACAAACTCAGTCACAGCATAAATCTAACATTCAAGTTTTTTCTTGTAAACTGTGGTTTTGTGCATTGGCACAAAGATGGATTCCATCAAGGAGAGAGTGGACGAATCAGCACGGATTGGAATAGATTAACGTCCATTATTGGGATTTTGAGAGGTTGAGTACCAACAAACTGTAAGACAGAGAAGAAATTATCTCTGTCTGGCCCCAAAACAATTTCTAATCAGAATCTGGTGTCCTTGAGCCTACAAGGCCACAACGAAAACTCCCCCCTCAGAAGATATGTGGAATGTGCCGTCGCTATGGCCACTCAACTCTGTCTCCTTTCCCAACCTGGGCGGGACTGCGGGAAGGTAGCTGAAGCATCCAGGGTCACTGCAACCCTCAATGCTCCTCCCCCCTATCCACACTGAGGTGACATGCGCTGCTTATTGTGGCTGCAGGTACTGAAGTGGGGTTAGTCCCAACCCACCACCCCTCCTAGTGGACACTTATGTTGTGTAATGTCTGAAGTCTGTTGCATATCTGTTGAGGTGTTTTTTTGCAGAGCAAAGCTGCCCTCCCGGTGGAGGGTAACTCTGAAGTGTCTTTTTTCCCTCCACCTGAACCAATCCTCATGTTACCCTCTGATCTCTATTAAGGTAGCGCGACTCAGGGTTGCGAATGACCACAGTCACCAATTCTTGTCATGTGTCTTGCCCATGTATGTCTGATCTCTGAATTGTGTGTACTGAAACTCTAATTTCCCTCTGGGATTAATAAAGTATCTTTGATTTGATTGATTTGAATACATTTTAACTTAAAGGAATATTCCACCACTCAGTAAATCGTGTCTTGTTAAGATTCCCCAGAGTTAGACAAGTCAGGAAAAGCATTTTATAACCAGCCCAGTATGCTCTGGCAGCAGTTGGTTTTCTTAGTTTAGCATAAAACAATGTAAGTGGATTCACATACATTGTAGTGTTTTTTAATGTAGGTGAATGCAAGCCTTCCCTTCCATTGCTTTATGCTAAAATAACTGGTTACAACATGTTGTTTCTGACTTAGCTAACTCTGGGGAATCTAACAACACACACACGTTTAGGGACAGAAGATCCCTATAAGAATATTAAAATAATAAAAATGCAGCAATAAATAAAACGTAACACTTGTGCTTTGTAACAAAGTAACACTCTGTGGGAGTTAATTTGGTGAACTGATTCACCCTGGACAAGAAATAATTGCACATAAGAAACATAAATAAGAATAAATAAAAAAAATGTTCCAAAACAATAATTTGTGTTCAAAGTTCAAAGGAGTGGAGCCACACAACATGAGTTCATAAAGCCGGCGCTATCTGCTGGTTAGGTAGCGCAATATCGGCCATCTTTTTGGCCGATACTGTCAATGACCCCAATATCGGCCGGCCGATATATTGGTCGGGCCCTAGTGGATACACGGATCATACTGATCCAATGTCTTCACAACTAGACCTAATGAAATTTGACAAACTAGTAGAATACAATTTATTAAAACTTATGTACAAAGCACATAAATGAATTCTACCAATAAATATTCAAAAGAAATGTGTAAAAAGAGAAAGTAATTGTAATCTAAAAGGAACTGATATTTTGAAAAAAACCAAGATTCCGAACGGCAATAATGGAAAGATGTGTCTCAGTTTAAAGGTGTCTATTTATGGAATAGACTCAACAGTGAAATAAAACGATCTAAATCATCTTCTGTCGTTAAAAAATGTGAAACGTATCATGATGAAGTAATAAGACCTTAAGTAGGCTGATTGACTTGTTTTGTGTTGCGGTGGGGGGTTCGATGAACGAAATTCTTTGAGTTGAACAGCTAATGTCGATGTGAAAAGGGGGCGGATATAAGTAGGGATGCATCGATACGATACAGGTATCGGCGCCGATACCAATACCGGTATCGGTATCGGTAAAAGTTAATCGATACCAATGCAGTTGCTTGAAAATGGCTTCGCTGTAACTTGTCATTTCTGTTCACCTAATATTTTAGTTTTGTGATGATTTCTATTCATATATTTTACTTATCATCTACCTCACAGTCTTTTCCTGTTGAAAGCAGAGAAGAAAATAAAATCTGTATTCCAAATCATTGCGTTTTGTTTTGTGTGGTGGAAGTATCGGTAATCGGTATCGGCGAGTAGTCAGATCCAAGTATTGGTATCGCATCGGTTTGGAAAAAGTGGTATCGTTTCATCCCTAATTACAAGTTTTTGCTTCTTTCTGCTCCTTTTCATTTATGATTATTTGTGAACATGAATTGTTTTAATGTAACTTTTATTTGATTTGATTGAATGAAATAAACAAAGTGAAACTGGGTGATCCATATTGATATCAGGAATTTGTTGTTTTCCAGGATAATCGAGCCCCCGGCTGGTGTCTGAGTGAAACCTACCTAAAGTGTGGCATGAACCCCAGAGAGGATAACATTTGGATCCCTGATGACACCTACTACTGCAAGCTGATTGAACGCCTTGTGGACAATATCCTTTAATAATCCTCCTGTTGGTGAACACATCTGTCACTATAGCAACAGGATAATTCTCTAGGGCAGCTGTCTGTGTTTGTCCTGATTGTTTCCAGCGATGGGTACCGAAATCGGTACTTTTTAAGGTTCCGACCGAATTCCATAGTACCGACTGAGCACCGATTCACGTCATTTGAAACGGTGCCTCGTTTCGGTACCCGTCCTTCATAACGAGAACTTGCCTAGACAGCTGCGCATGCGCAAGAGCGTTACGTCGTTGGTCGCTGCGAGCGAGTTGTAAACAGAGCAGCATGGTAGAAAGAACGCACGCTAACGCTTGGGTCCACTTCACTAAATGTGATGGGTAACTGGGTGATGATGAAACCAGCGACAACGATCTGAGACATCCTCATCTTCATCTGCTCCGGTAGGTCAATAAAATGTTTAAAATATCGTTAGCTTGATTTGTTAGCTTCCGTTCCGCTAATGGTGCGTTCACTTTCTCCTCGGAACTCCGAATGTCTGACTGGAAGAATATGAACGTACTCTAAAGTTTGGCTTCACTTCACTAAATGTGACGGGTGATTGGGTGAAGATGAAACCAGCGACAACGATCTAAGTGTGAGGCATCATCGTTTTAATCTGCTCCAGCAGCTAAATAAACTGTTTAAGATAACGTTCGCTTGATATGTTAGCTTCCATTGCCACCATTGTTATCAGCTAATGGTGCGTTCGCTTTCTCCTCGGAAATTCTAACTTCCCAGTAGGAAAAATCAAATGAAAAAGGACGGCAAAAGGAATGAAGATACACAGTAAATTTAGTTCACAGTAAAGATGTTTGCTTCAGTTTAATTATCAGCTTATAAAACTACAAGGACGATGTTAAAATACAAACAGTTGTATGTTATTTATCGTGATATTTATCAAATATGGTTATATATTGAGAAATATATATATTTAATTATAAAAGAGATTTAAAATATTAAACACTCAAAAGTATCTAAAATTGGTACCGTTAAGTACCGGTATCGATTCCTAGGTACCGGGAATTAGTACCGAATCGATTCAAATGTCAAAGGTACCCATCCCTACTTGTTTCTGCCCTTAACAGCTGAAAAGAACATCAGGACTTCATTTGTGTTTCTTTATTTGCATCCAAAGGAGTTCGCTGCAAATAGAATAAACTCTCATTTTTAGTTTGTCCTTAACGCCGTCCCACCCATGGCAGGAAAGTCGCCCGGTCCCTTTCCTAACTGTGACTGGAGATTTAACGAGTTTCCCAACCCTGCAGCTCACGCCCTGCACGTCACCTGTGTGGAGCTGATGGCTCTGGCCGTGCCGGGGAAAGATGTCGGCAACGCTCTGCTCAACGTTGTGTTAAAGAGGTGCAAACAGATTATTATTTATTAGGAAAATGATGGTCGGCATTATGTTTGCATCAGTTTCCTGTATTTTTTAATGGATGTTTGAATACTTTGTGCTAACATACTCTCTAACTTTTAGTCAGCCTCTGGTTCCCAGAGAAAACATCACCGCTTGGATGAATGCAATTGGACTTGTGATCACAGCACTTCCTGTAAGAAAGTAGAAACAAAACAGAAAATTTTCTCTGACGTAAATTCATCCACATTCGCAACTCCTGCGACCATCTCCGCTCTCCTTTCCCAGGAGCCCTACTGGGTCGTCCTCCACGACCGCATCCTGTCTGTGCTCAGCTCCCCGTCTCTGACGTCAGAGGCCGAGTGGGGCGTTCATCCCTTCGCCTTGCTTGACTTCACTGCCTGCCACCAGAGCTACAGCGAAATGAACTGCAGCTATGTGCTAGCGTTAGCGCACGCCATCTGGCACCACTCATCCATCGGACAACTGTCTCTGATTCCCAAGTAATCGTCTTTCTTTCTCATTTTTCTTTACGCGTCTTGTCTTGTCATGAGTGTCCTTTCATCGTGTGTGTGTGTGTGTGTGTGTGTGTGTAGGTTCCTGACAGAGACTCTGAAGCCCATCGTCCAGACGGAGTTCCAGTTGCTGTACGTGTACCACCTGGTGGGACCGTTCCTGCAGCGCTTCCAGCAGGAGCGGACACGATGCATGTTGGAGGTTTAAACGACAACAAAAAACGAATTTATTTTAACTTTTAGTTACGTCTTTGTGATTCTAGAACACATTTTATCATACGCGTGTGTGTTACAGATCGGCGTGGCCTTCTACGAGATGCTGCAGGCTGTTGACCTGCACTCCCAGCATCTCAGCTTCATGGACCCAATCTGTGACTTCCTGTATCACATCAAGTACATGTACACCGGAGACAGTGTGAAGGAGCAGGTGAGCCTTTTGGTCAGCGGCGAACTAAAGACTTTCACGTGTAACTTCTGCTTTTGTGGAGCTTTCTGGGAATGGTTTTGCTCAAAAAGGCATTTAAGAATAATTTGCATGGTAACTGGTGCTTTTTCCCTTAAGCTCTCAGATTAAACACATTTAAAGCATCTCGGTGAGTTTTATTAGTCTGAAATAAAACCAATTAAAGATTTCTACAGTCTTGTGAAAAGTCAACATGGCATCAGAAACGTCTGGGATGAAACAAATGCAGGATAAACTCCATAAAAGATAAACGTTTATTTATGTTTGTGATTTAAATAGATCTTCTCTAAGAGTGACTTCAGTTAAAAACGGAAACTTGAGGCTGTAGTTTCAGATATCTGCTTTGATTAATAAAGAACACAATTTACAGATCAAATGACATCAGTTTTCTATAAATGCAGCACTTTAGTCCAAACAAATAAAGACTTATGGCCATTTTTGGCTTTTGTGGCGGATTTTGTGAGCCCATCCGTTCATCTCTTCTCCTCCTGCCCGTCCAGGTGGAGAAAATCATCATGACTTTGCGTCCAGCCATGAAGCTTCGTCTACGCTTCATCACACACAGCAGCATGATCGAGACCTCCACCTCAGCTGTCAACGCCTCCACATCCTCCTCCTCCAGCACCCCTCAGCCTCCTCCACCGTCACTCTCCTCCTCCAACACCGCCGCCTCTCCCTCCACCTCCCAGCACACACCTTTGTAAATAATCCAAATCAGACACATATTGTTGTTATGATTAATTAAATGGATGTTTTCTAATTATGTTTTTACTAAACAAAAACCATTTGAAGCCCTGGTATTAGAGTCAACATGATATGTTTATTTGGCTAAAATTTCAAAATAAAACTGTTAAATTATTGATAAAAATCCACAGAAAGTTTGAATAAACTGAAAATTCCTAAACAGGAAGTGGAAATATCATCGCAGGAAAGCTAAAAATAAAACTTAAATGACTCTGATGTATGTTTACGAGTGCCATGTTATGTTTGTAACATTTTTCTTACCGTGAATGTTTTTATTTCCTTATAGACTGAAATAATAAAAACTTTTACTAAAAAAAAATTCTATAGAAGCAACTGGATTCATTGAAAGTCAACATTTAGCCAAGTAAGTTCTTACAGTCTTTGGATTTCTCTTGGAAACATCTTTTCCAGACTTCGCTGCTCGAATTTGTATCATGGCAGGTTTCCACCAGTAGGGGGAGTCCAGAAACTCTTCATGGTGTCTTTTATTGTCCTCCGCCAATAAATAATGTGGGGAAATCTACTTTTGTCCTTGAATTCAGGGATTCTGTTTGACTTGTTTCCTTTTAATCTTGTAATAAAACCAAATCTGTGGGAATGCTTGGGTGTGTTTTTTGTTTTATAATATTTAAATTTCATAATACTTAAAATTGGCGGGCTGCACAGTGGTGCAGTGGTTAGAGCTGTTGCCTTGCAGCGAGAAGGTCCTGGGTTCGCTTCCCGGCCTGGGATCTTTCTGCATAGAGTGTGCATGTTCTCCCTGTGCATGTGTGGGTTCTCTCCGGGTTCTCCGGCTTCCTCCCACAGTCCAAAACCATTACTTGGTCTGTCTAAATTGTCCTTAGTTGTGTGTGTGCATGATTGTTTGTCCTGTGTGTCTCTGTGTTGCCCTGCGATGGACTCGCTCTCTGTCCAGGGTGTACCCCGCTTGATTGCCCGTTGACCGCTGGAGATAGGCACCAGCCCCCCCGCGACCCTGCGTGGACAAAGCAGGTTCAGAAGATGGATGGATGGGTTAAAATAGGCTGTTTTTATACTAATGTATCAGATGAGGGGAAATTATAAGTGAACATTTCTTTCTCTGCTTGACCAGACGCCATAATTAATCTACCTCAGGGGCGCTTTGCCGCATTTCTGGGGCTCGGACCCTGGTCTACTACCAGATCCACTTTCCACCGATCATTTTATGTTCCTCCAGCAGGTTGTCGGTTCACGTAACCAGTTCAGGCTGGCCTCCAAGGGCAAAACCCCAGCCAACAGCTACTCACACACAGGCCCCAACCCCAGGCCTGGCTCCAGGGTGGGACGATGGTTGTTCCACTCTGACCATATTTGATCAGAGCGGTTCAAAACAGCAGGCTCATTAGGGCCCTCAAACTCTTGCATGACACTAAGGTGGTGGTTCAAGGGGACGCCTCTCAGAAGAAGGGTTTTGGGCATGTCCTGCCAGCTAGAGGCTCTTGAGTGAACCCAGGACGTACGCGAGGTTGCTGCGGAGAGAGGAGTTTGGGCCAAACCCGGATAAGCGAGGGGGGAAAGGATGGTGTTTCCATAATTCTAACCAGCGGTGTAGTGTTGACGTTATGGTACACATGTGTAGTTTTGATCCCCTGCTCATTGTGGCAGATCTTGTGAAGTCAGGCCACCAAAGTCCACCCAAGGATCCAGTGGCTTTCAGAACCTTGGGCAGAAATAACCAGTAGAGGTCGTTAAATGTTGCTCACACCTCTGTGGAGAAATTTAGCCTCTTGTTGTGTTTAATGGCCCAGTTTGGTCCAGGTTTCCGTGTTCAGTCTCACCTTTGACTCTAGAATACTTAAGGAGTTCAACTGTCAAGTGCCAAACCATCAACCCTCCACCTCCATGCCTCCATGCTAATGTGCTATCCATTATGGCTAAACATTTTTTACTTTGGTCTCCTGTGGCTCATTCGGACGTAACCTTATAAATCTAAATCATGCTGGTGTGTTCTTGTGTTCTCCGAGGATTGCGCGGTCTGACCGTGAGGCGACCGCACCTCCTGGAAAAGCATCTTGTCAGCCATGTTTTATCTCCTTAGCTGATTTATCTTTGACACAATCCATCTCCCCAGAAATGAGCTCCTCTGGGTTGAAAATCTACATTTCATTATCCTTCCAATCGTAGAGCTGCTGATTTGCTTTTTCATCTTCTATATAAATTCCCAAGCTACTGACCAAACCAATGTACAACTGAATCTATTCGTTCAAATTAAATCCCTTAAAAGCCCAGAAGGTGCAAACAGAGCAGAACTGTGTGGCCAGGCCGGACGAGTCAATGTTGGATCTCATGTGGAGAATAAGCCTTGGGCATTAAGCCATTAGAGGTCAGCTAGATTCTCACTGGTGTTAAGTTGCTGTTTATTATTGATTGTGAAGGTGTGGGCTGAGGCACGAAGCCAGGAGCAGGCTAAAGATCTACGTCTGCTTTTCGAACACGTTTTCCTGACTTGTCTTCTGTCCAAGACCAGATCTAGACTCTAAAGCTAACAAAACTCTGGTATTTCTCTTGCGACGTCCAAAGTGATGGTGGTGTATAATTAATTAGTCTCCACTGGTGACTTTAGAGCAGAGTCTCAGGAGGTTTTCTGACAAGCAGCGTGATGTGGTAAACTTCCTGTGCACCGGTGCAGCCGTGACTTCATTAGATTGGTTGTGCTCTCTGTGCATTTAATCCCATTCTTCTCTCTGTGCACACTTGAGTCATCCCATGATCTCCCCACAAGGCTGAGATGTAGGTCAGTTCATGGTGCTGTTTGGGCCCACCGCTCACCCATTCAACCCAAATGTAAAGTGGCAACATGTAGGCCAGTGGGATGTTCCTGCACTAGATAGGGACACGTGCAAGTGTGTGTGTGTGTGTGTGAGAGAGAGAGAGAATGGGAAGACCCTCTTTAAATTTAGCCTGCTGGTCCACTGGGATTATGGGCTGAAGGCGGACTGTCTGACAGGATTAATGTGTCATCATCGATTACAGATAAACAAATTACTTCCATCTCGCTCCTGTGACGTCTCATCCAACAGCTCCAGAAGCTCTTCCTCATATTGGAGTCCGAAACAGCCGTGTTGCACAAACATCTCCCCGATTCCTGTCACCATGTTTGTTCGCTGCTTCCTAAAGGACTCTCACACCACCAGCTGGTTGGGATTGGAGCATTGGCGGTTCTAGAGGTGGGGGCACAGGGGGTATTGGCCCCCTACTGAAATCCCCCTGAAGTGTCCCTGCCTCGTCACTCATCTGCCCTTTTCGCAATAAGTAGATGCGATTCCAAGTTAAAACACTAGTGGCGCTAATGAGCCAAATAGGAATTTCCAGCATGAAATATTGTGTGAGGATGTTGAACCAATACAGTGATCCCTCGTTTATCACGGTAGATGCGTTCCAGACCTGGCCGCGATAGGTGAAAATCCGCGAAGTAGGGACACCATATTTATAGTATTTATTTAACAGGTACGTATTCAGTATTCAGACTTTTAAAACACTCCCTTTATGGTAAATGGCCTGTATTTGCTATAGCGCCTTCTAGAGTCCTGGAACCCCCCAAGGCGCTTTACAACACAACCAGTCATTCACCCATTCACACACACATTCACACACTGGTGGGGATGAGCTACGATGTAGCCACAGCTGCCCTGGGGCGCACTGACAGAGGCGAGGCTGCCGAGCACTGGCGCCACCTCCCACCACCACCAGCAGGCAATGTGGGTTAAGTGTCTTGCCCAAGGACACAACGACAGCGACAGACTGAGCGGGGCTCGAACCTGCAACCTTCCGATTACGGGGCGAGCACTTAACTCCTGTGCCACCGTCGCCCCTTTACATAGTACTGTATTTTTTACTTGTTTTTGTTTTATAGTTTTATTACAAAAAGTGCATTTTATGATGAAATTGATGAAAAAAAACAGGAATTTCTTGATATTTCGCATAGAAAAATACCGCGAATCGGTGAAAAATACCGCGAATCGGCGAATTTCCCTTGAATAAGGCTCTAAAGAAAAAATCTGCGAAGTCGTGAATCCCCGATAAACGAACCGTGAAGTGGCGAGGGGTCACTGTACTTGGCCCCTCTCTAAATATTGTGGCCCCTTGTTTGCCCTAAACTCATGAAAATTCTAGATCCGCTACTAGATTGGAGACGTTTTTCAACCCACCTTCCAACCCAGCTGATGCGTTTCCAAAACTCAGATTTTGACAGACTGGACTGAAGCCAAATTGATGCTTTATGTTACTTTTTAATGAACATTTTGATGTAACCCGGGTCTCTCTTATGCATGAGTGGAGCAATCATCCTTATCTTTTTTTCTTTGTCTTTGGCATTTCCCTTCAGGGGTCGCCACAGCGAATCATCCTTACATTTATCTCTGTGGGAACAATCAGCCATGTTTTCAGAGGCCTGCGTTGCCTTCTTAACATTGGTAGGCTGCGTGTCTCTGGGGCACCGTGACATCGACTCATGCAGAATTTCTCAGTGGCTTTGGTGCGCTTCTTGCATCACTACTAACATTTGAACAAGTTCAATGCGTGAAAACTGAAGAAACTAGTTCATAACCTGCAAAAGTGCATCACTTGGATTCATGGAAATCAAAAGTTCATATCAGTAAAAAAAGTCATAAAATTTCTGACACCGTTGCTGGTGAAAAATATAGTCACAGGCTGAAAACAAGGCCGTTTTAAAAATCATTTTTACTACATGTGACCTTTGCAATTTGTTCTCACTGTGCAAAAATTCCTTTGCTGCAAGCAAAAGAAACACTCTTTTGGTAAAGCTGTGCACAACCGCATGCAAAACCTCAGAAAAGTAACAAAAAGATCAACAAAATGCTTAAACTGACGCATTTTGACAACTAGTTCTACACGTTAGCATTCTATATTCATTTGTTCCTTTTGACTGGCATACACAAATGATTTTATAAAACAGTCATTTGTAATTTGGGGTGAGAAACTACTACGATTTGCACAAATGGAGGTTGAACTAACCGTTATGAGAATGTTATTTCTAATAAGAGAAATGCACCAAAGCAGTTGAGAAAAACTATAAGAGCAGTTATTTCATTTACAAACTCCAAATGTATCTTCTTGCCATGAAATTATAGAAAAATCTGCAACAGAGAACTGGAAATATTTTTAATGAGTTTTTTCTTTCCTATTAAAGCGAACGAAACCCCCTTAAAACCCACACCTTTCTAATAAATCTTGGACCTTGACTTTGCGCTAAAAGATGAAAACAATTTAGGCGAAAATAGAAATAACTCAAATATGATTTAGCTGTAATTATTCATTAGACACTTTGTTTGGACAGGAGGACAGAAGGGCTTGACTAAAACAGGCCCGGTCCCGTTAATCCTGAAAAAGAACAGGAGCGAGCTCGTGCAGCAGGATGCTTACAGATCCCACAGTGGTGATGTCATGCTCCATACGGCGCCCAACTCTGAGACCCAAACAGAAACATCTCACTCATGGACGTAATTTTGGGGGGGGACAGGGGGGACATGTCCCCCCCTCTTTTTCTGAAGTCAAGTTTTGACCCCTGCACTTTTTACCATCCGAAAACAATATTACGCTAGATTAAATTGACACTGG